ATCTATAAATAATACAGATGTTAGAATTTAGAAAAAGCTGTTTTAAATCCACCTCATAATATTAGTCTAAGTTCCACTGTTAATATGCACCAAATCTTAAAGTTAGTGTAGAAATTCCATGCACATATGCATTAACAAATAATATTAAATCTTCAAAAAAGAAGCTGGAATACCTACTTTCTTGATATAGCAAATACAAAGATCAGAACTTCAAAAAATAAGAAGTTCAGAAATAAAAAATTTGACAGAAATTCAATTCAAATTAATGATGTGCTACACATATAATCAAAATTGGTTCGTAGGACAAGGAACATCTTGTATGATGATGGGAAATAAATACAACCAAGATGTTGGTTTCTGGTTTATTATTATTAAACCAACAATTTTAGAGTTGAATATAATTCAGAATACATTTAAGTTCAAAATTAAGCTCATATACAGTTATAGTTGTATGAAAAATGCTCACCTCCATTATCCACAAAAATTAATATATTTTCAAAGATTCCAAATTTTCAAAATATGTAGTTTTCGTAAATGTCTAAATTAAATGGAAAATAATCAATGAAATGGTAGATCTTTTAAGCTTTTTGAAAATATAATAAGTCTTTTAAGTGGAAAATATACTATTAGCTAAAAATTTTGATAAGTGAAATATAGGGGAAAAAGTTATTGCATTAATAATTAATAATGGATCAAATATAAAAAACTGCATAGTTGATCCTATTGGCCTTACCTATCCTCTTATTCTCTTGTATTTTAAGATCTCAATGGGCATAAATACAATGGGAAAACTTAAAACTGCAAGCTTAATCATATGAAAACTGAAATAATAGGAAATTATTTTGGATCTCAAAAATTTTATAAATTTATTAGCCTACAATAGTAATAATAATACTATTTAAATAATTGCAAACAGAACATGATCTAGTTTTAGTAGAAACAATTAATTTCTAATGTTTCTATATTAGATTTAATAAATGTAATTTAACAGTAGGAAAGGTATATTAAGGGAACTTGAAAAATTAGATAAATTGTTAAGAAGTGAGTCTGAAGAGCATTTATTAGAATGTATTGGATTAAGATAAAAATTGTTCTAAGTTGATCAATGTTGAAAGTTATATAGAAGATGATGTAAATCAGTTAAACAAATACTATTGAGAAGTGGAAAGGCTTCTCTACTTTGTATTTGCATATTAGTCTTCTTTATTCATTGTTTTCGACGTTTGTAGAACTGCTGTTGATATGCTACATAATAAATCTGAACTTGATTCTTATTCAGAATTTACCTTTCTATTAAATGTGAAGTTTGGATGCCAAATTATGATTGTTTATTAGACCCTTTCACAGGAGCTCAAAACTTAGAGGAGGAGAGTTATTAGAATAGAAAATAAGTCAAATAGATATCTGTGATTTTAGTTATTTGATAGTCATTTAATTTACTGCACCACAAATGATCTATAACATTATTAGTTTAATATCACTTTTAATTGTATTAGCAATTTGTAGGATGTTTGAATATATTCAAAAAAATGTGTATTGAGAAAAAATCGAATATAAAAAAGTCATTAAAAGTGAATGGGGTATGATGTTGGAGTTATAAAAACAGTATGCTTTAAGGAAGAATGCATTGTATGAGCATGGTCTTTCTACCTGTAGAATAAAGAGGCCTCTTACCTCAGAGCAGATTAAACATAATTTAAATAAGATAAAAGGAAAACTTTTTTTATTGGTATACTATATATATAAGTTTATATGAGATATTTATTTATATTCAGTTATTTTAAAGAGAAACATTGGAGCTTTATCAGGAATTAGTAGTTATTTTAGAAGGGTTAATAACAATATCTGAACTAACCTGGAAAGTCCCTTTAGCCAGCCAAGTTATCAGTGATAATTTGTTGCTAGTATCTAAATTATCAAAGAAACAAAAAAAAATTTATAGTATAAATCTTCCACCTATTATTCTATCTCTTCATCATTGTTGGTAAAAGCTAGTAGAAAGATAATCCAGATTTTTTTTCCTACTATCTATAAATAAAATAATTATATTCATTTCAGAAACCAGTTGATCCATGACAATGCCTTAAGAGATTTTAGAAGAATGTGTTAGATTTATAACAAATTTTATGCCACAAAAGTATGCCAAGTCTGCAACAAGGATTCAGGACCCCTGAATATGAAAATTTTTTATATAGTGAATGCTGTCTGAGAAAGTACTAAAATGTATAGCAAAATTTTGCTTAATTGGCGAAAAATTGATTATATTGCACAACAAACATTTCATATTTATTTCAAATTTAGTCAAAATGTACATCCAAAACAATACAATTATTTTAATTATCATCTGTAACTTGTTATTTTTCATGGTTTTCATAATTTTTTCAGCATTTAGAATACTTTTTTCAATATCAACAATACTATTTCATCAATAATAATATGATGTTAATTGTCCAAAAGTATAGAAAAATCTCTTTCCAGTTGCACATTCGACCATTTTTTTACACAAATAATTTTTTTAAAAATTTTTATTTTTATTAAGCTTTCTTAATACAAATATTTATATAGTCTCTTTCTATGCTTGTAGAAGTGTCTTTACAGCACCAGAAAATCTAGTCATTTTTTTTTCATAATTTCACATTGTGATGATAAGTCATGAGAAAAGTGCAATGTTGCACCTAGTTATTGGAAAGAAATAACTGTCAATGAATGGAATTCTTTATTAGAAGAAATTGAAAATTGGAATATCCACCTTACAGCAAAAAACCTTTCAATAATTTAGATGCATTAAAACATAACGAAACACTATATGAATTTATTTGGTGGACATTTGAATCATTTATTATTCCTCATCTTAAAGTAAGTATTTTTATAGCAAATTTATTTTATTATTCAATTTAATAATATTTTTAATGTATTTCATATATGTACAAAAATTTAAACAAATTTAGTGCGAAAACACTTATTTTAGGTGCTGATATTTGGTAAATGTGACCTAACAAAAATGGAAACCCCAAAATAAATTGTTGAAACATTTTATTTTATTTTCTTTTATTTTTTGCAAAATCTCTAAGTGCTTATAAACAACATACTGTATGTGATAGTTTGGCCAGTTATACCATGGATACTTCACCTATTAGGAAGCACCGAAAAATGGTCTTCCCGACATTGAACAGTCAATAACAATACTTTAGTTACGATATAAAAGTTAACAGCAAACTTTTTATTGATGAAAATTTCATGAAAGATAATATCCTCTACACCAATTGACCCACTTTATATGACTACTTAATCAAAGCTAAGATGAACTATGAAGAGGCTTCTTCACATAAATAAAATGACTTGTGACAATATTTTAAGCAAAAAACAGCCAAAGATCTTTTAAACCTTTATAATAGGCATGTGCTTCTCCTTTACCTTCCTCTGTGGCTTCAAACAATGATGAATTAATCATCCAAAAAGGAATCACCTAACATTTTTGAATGTGTTCTCATTTGCTACTAGACACGTTCATCATGACCTTCCAAAATCCTTTACTTTTACAAAAAAAAATGTCATGGATTTGGAAGAAACTTACTACTTATGGAATGACACCAAAATGAAAAATTATTTTTGGAAATATAATGTTTCCTTTAGTTTATTTTTTTTACAATATACTATAATAGAGTAAATTTTATTGTAAATGATAGTATTTGAAATCTATTCAAGAAGTTTTCATGTTCCAAAGAGTCGCCAAGCTAATTTTGATAACAAAATAATACATTATTATTTTTTATAGAAGGTTAGAGATGATTTGGAAATAAGGCAACTAAAAAACTCTTAAAAATCATACCTATTTATATTAAAGGCCATTTTAGGACAATTTTTGGCGTTGCAGATATGCTATACTAATGTTTTATTGACAAACATTTATTTTTCAACGAACTTATACCTAACGCGCTTTCTTCAACACAAATTATCCAGCAACATTTTTTACTGCAACGAAAATATCCTATAAAACCATTTTTTTAGATGTGACTTGCGAGGTTCCCAAGAGTATGATAAATTTATATCACTACAAATTAAAACAAATAATTACACTCATAACTTTAACTTATTCCGCAGTAAAACATTAAAATCATTACTATCAGTTTCAACAAATAGAGAAATTCTTTCTTGGAAATTAATTATTTATTACATTAAAAAATAACTGACATATGATTAAAAAAAATACATTTAAATTTATGATATTATAATTACTATTAATTCGATATTTTTGTTATTAGATAATTATCAAACCTTTAATATTTATTCAGACCAAATAATAATTACTCAATAATCTTGTTTATTCTTATTATCCAAAATTATTCATTTAGATTGATAATCAGTATTTAATTATTTTATATGTTTATATTTTTTTAATTGAATTTTGAATATTGTATAATAAACAAATTATAACTTTTTTTTTTTTTTACTTTTATGACGAGAAATTAATAGGAAATGAAATTGCGAAATAAAGGTTGTACAGTACAGTATCTGTCTCTTATACACATCTAGATGTGTATAAGAGACAGCTTTATGAACTACGCAAAACTTGAATGGATCAAAATTACGAATAATATGCATTCCGTAAATAGTTTTTATTCACTAGATTTGGAAGACAAAAAAAAAAAAAATCGATGATTAAAGTGCTACAAAATACTACCTTATTAAAGTAACTCAAATCCATTCTTGAATCATCACGTGATTAAGGATAAATTTCGGCATGAAACATTCTAACAATCTCCGGTATATCACAATTCCTGTATTTGGAAAGTTGTTGAATTAATTAACATTATTGCTGCGACAATAAAGGAAATCAATTAGTCCTTGTATTAATATACTTTATAACAATCACACATGCCTATTTTAGCATGTTATTTTTAACTTTCATTTAACAATGCGAAAAACCTTTACAGCCAAGTATAAAAAAGCGTTTTTATACTCATTTGATAAAGGAAAAAAATTATATAAGTAATCTTATTATCTTGGAATTTTTTTTCTTAAAAATCCTTCTTAAATACTTTAAAAATTTTATCTGTTATTTTTTTTTAAAAAAAAAAAATGTATCAACCGATTATTTTAGGATCTATTCTATTAGTAACACTTTACATTCTAAAGCGTATGCGTAGTCCAAAGCTGGTATGATAATAATAATAATTTATCGAGAATTTTGTTGTTTTTTCTCAATTTTTTTTTTCTTTTTTTAGAATATGCCACCACTCGTTCGTTATAAATATCCAATTATTGGACATACTTATGATTTTTTGACCAACGGTGAAGAATTCTTTAAACAATGTAGAAAAGAGGTTTGTTGACTTTTAAAGAATTTTTTGACGTCAGAAAAATTTAATTAACGTTATATCAATTATTGTATTAGTACGGTGATATTTTCAGTTTATATGTTTGGGGTGAAGTGAGAACATTTATTGGTAAGTTGTGTGCATTTTTATGTTCGAATTAATTAAATTTCTTTTAAACCCATATTATACAATCTTATAGGAAAAGAACATTTTCAAGAAGTATTATCTAGAGATGATTCATTTGTTTTTGGAAAACAAGTCGATATAGATTCAATTTTTAAACATAACATTAAATTTACAAATCGGCCAAAAGTAATTAAAGATTATGTTTTAAATAAGTTAAAACTTTATACTGAGCGTATGCAAGAAAGTCTTAACGTTGCTACTCAAAAATATATTGGTGATTGCGATGAACCAAATGTTATTTATTCATAATATATTTCCTATGATAACTAATATTATTTCTAATCCACTTGCAAATATTTTTATCGGTGAAGTATGTATTTTATTATATTTTTTATTATATGTACTTATATATTTTGGAAAATTTATAAATTTGCTATTTTAATATATCTCTTTATATAGGAAGAATCACAATATGAAGAAGTTATAGTTACATTCTCAGAACTTACGATCGATACAACAAAACTTTTGAGAATTCCACCAATACTTAATTTTATCTATCCGGGACTCCAAGCTTTTATTAATAATAGTATATTAAGCTTAGGAATCTATAATCCAGCAATTAATCATCAAAAGGTACTTATTAAACACCTTAAAAATCAATTTTGTAAACGGTTACAAGAGAAAGTAAAATATGGAGATTCATGGAAACGTCCTGATGATTTCATTCAAAATATTATGGAAGAAGAAAGTTTTGATCCTAATAATATTAATTATGAAGAAATAGCAGACAAATTATGTTTGCTCATTGTCGTATCGGTCCATACGACAGCAAATAGTTGTACACATGCTATTATGAATTTAGCATCTCGACCTGAATATATGCAAGAATTATATGAAGAACAATTAGAAGTTCAAAAAGAAGCAGATGAAAATGGTATACTTCCATTTGAAGCACTTAATAATATGAAAAAATTAGATAGTTTCATTAAAGAATCTTTTAGATTATCTGAACATGTAGCAACACTTCCCCATGTTACATCAAAAGATTATACATTTTCTAATGAATTACAAGTACCCAAAGATCATTCAATTTATCTTTATGTTGATGATATTTACCTAGATGAATCATTACAAGGTCCAAATCCACAATCATTTGAACCATTCAGACATTTAAATACGAACGCTTCGGCATCAAAAGTTAGCAAAAACTATGTCGTATTTGGAGGTGGTAAACACGCGTAAGTGTATTATTCAATTAAGTTTTTTTTTTAAAACTTTTACAAATATAAAATAACCTAATTGATTATTATTAAATTATTTAGATGTCCTGGAAGACAACTTGCTGTAAACGAAATTAAATTCTTACATAATATTATACTAAAATATAATTTACGAACCGAAAGTGGTAAAATTGAGGGACCAAAAATGATTGGTACAATAAAACTTCCAAGCAATGCTGGAATTATTTTTGAAAAGAGAAAATAATTAAAAATATATATATACATTAGTTACATTAGTATCAATTAATCATTTATTATTTATTTTTTTTTATTATTTCGCATTTTGTATAGCTATAAATTTTGTTCTAAACCAGTTTGTAACAAAAATATTTATTTTAAATAAACACTTATCTGTTTACGGAAATGTGGAATATTAAGAAAATTTTTTTTTTTTGTTATCGTCAAAAAGATAAATATTTAGGTAAAATATGGAAAATATACGTAAAATTTGCAAAATATGGATTGAGTTGATTTTTACTTAATAATGCATCAATAACGTAACTTTTGTATTATATTTCGTAATAATAGACTAATTATTATATCATGAGAGTTTTAGATAAGAATTATATTTAAAATATAAGAATTAATACAGAGTATGAGAGTATCGATTATTTGGTGAATTACTATTTACTATTTATTTATTTATTTAGTTTACAAAATTATATTTTTGTACCTAATGTTGTTTCGTTTTAATCATTTCGTTAATACCACAAATTTATTTTATATGATAACAATCTAATTAAAAAAAATTGTCATATCTAGATTACCTTGTATAAATAATTTGAATTGTGTAACATTGAAAAGTGTGCGTTCGATCTATTTCGTATTTATCGTATTTTATTTGCGGTCATTTCCGCTCTCTTAATTACCACAACTAACCATTTCTATAATAATAATTTTTTTTTTATTTTTCAGTTTTTACCGTAAAGACCAAAACTACCTTTTTAGTCTTTTTTTTATTAATTTTTTTATCCCTCTTTTTATTATTATTGTTTCTTTTGGTTAACAACCGGTTTTTTGTTATTCTTTTTTTTTTGTTGGATTTTTTTTTTTGACCCAAAAAATATTGTTTATTCTTTTTTGGTTTGGGTCAAGACTATAATCAGATTAGAACTATGTCCTACGGCTTTTTCGATGTTTAGAGATTTTTTTTTAGTCAATAGATATTGTTTCTCCGCATAAATAATTTGAATTATGTAACATGCCATATTAAAAACCCGTGACATACCTCCGCCTGATCTATTTATGGTCAAAAACTATTCGATCCATGTGCATTCCAATCAACTAATCCAATTACAGTTNTTTTTAGTCTTTTTTTTATTAATTTTTTTATCCCTCTTTTTATTATTATTGTTTCTTTTGGTTAACAACCGGTTTTTTGTTATTCTTTTTTTTTTTGTTGGATTTTTTTTTTGACCCAAAAAATATTGTTTATTCTTTTTTGGTTTGGGTCAAGACTATAATCAGATTAGAACTATGTCCTACGGCTTTTTCGATGTTTAGAGATTTTTTTTTAGTCAATAGATATTGTTTCTCCGCATAAATAATTTGAATTATGTAACATGCCATATTAAAAACCCGTGACATACCTCCGCCTGATCTATTTATGGTCAAAAACTATTCGATCCATGTGCATTCCAATCAACTAATCCAATTACAGTTAATGAAATTTTATCTTAATCAGAATTTTTTTTTTCTGATTATTAATTCAAATTTATTAAATAAAGAAATAAAATAATATATTAAATATATTTACAAAATTATTATTTTTTTATTTTTAAAATCAATATAACATGTAGGAAAATTGATCGACGTTGATAGAAATATGAGAAATATGATTGAAATTTTTTAGTTAAATTGAACACTGGATAATTAGTTTGATTTTCAAATTCATAAAAATCAAGAAAAAATTGATATCTTTTATTTTTACAATATTTTATAATTAATTAATAAAAATATTTGTAGTATTTTCATAATATTAAAGTTTTTTCGAAAATACTTCTGTTGACTAATTATTACACTATTATTACTATATTAAATTCCTAATTATAATTAATTTTACTTAGTATTACATTATAATACTAAATTTTTCTATTTAAACAAAATCATTGGTCCCGGTGCGAAGCAACGGGTGACTGCTAGTAAATTATTAAAAAAACTTTTCGTCAAACTTACGCAACGCTTGTCCAATTCCAGTTTCCAGCGTTAGATTTTGTAGATATTGAACCAGTGGGGATCTTCAATCACGTGCTATTTATCCAATCAAATATATTACGCGTGATTTAAATCATCGATCATGACGCATATAGAAACTAATGAACATTTTTGGACTTGTCCAAGATCAATTGACATTCTAACGACCATTTTCAAAAAACATGAATTAATTTACCGATCTAAGATAAAGTTAACATAAATGACATTAATTTCAACATCCCACTATTTACTGGATTTAATTCGCCTATCACTTCAATCTTGGACGCTCCTGAAATACATTGTCTTTTGATCAATATGATCCCTAATTGCATCTTAGAACCTTTAAAAGCTGCCAAATTTCACAAAAAACTGATCAAAAAATTACTCTTATCCTTTTTGTTCGATCTTCACCGTGATATTTATGAACTTTTATGGAAAACTCGTAATCTAGAGTGGAAAGAATATAAAAGAACCAATGGTATTATCAAAAAGTCTTTCGTAAAACGACCAAAACAACAACGTAAAAAGTGTAGAATCGATAACGATAATGATTCTTCTAATATTCGCAACTATAATACTATGGTGAATGTGGGATATAATAACCCGTTCATGACATCGTTACGCAATCTTGATAATGCCACATTTTGGATCTATTTAACAAGCTCCAATTTCCGCCATAATTTACCGTGGATAAATTCTTTATCAATTAATTTTTTGGATACTATAACCTTTGATCACAATTTGTTTTATTACAATATATAACCCCTCCGCTCTACTCATGAACACTATTTGTTTAGGTTAGACTACATTATGTCCTTTTTACTTTTGCTTTTTGTAGATTTTTGCTAGTTTCTCGGTGGGTTTTTATGGTTCCCATTTGATTAATTAGCGTAGTCCTACTTTACCAAATAGTTCAGATCGAAGGGTGAGGTTCTGTAGGGAATGAAGAACAAAGTTCTATACACACATATTGGGTTTAAGCTTTTTCTTTGAAATTCTTTCTTCTTTTATCTGTAATAGTCTGGGTTCTACCACTCTTTTAGTAATAAAATAAATAAATAAATAAATAAATCGATCATGACGCAAGTAAAATTGATAAAATATAGCATATCCTTTAGTTCAATAAAGAGTAATTTAATTCATTTTTATAATAGAAATCATGAGTTATTTTTTGATGACTTCAAAAACCTAATAAGAGTTTATTTTAAGTTGATCTCTAACTTAATACAAACTAAATCTAGTAAGAAAAATCTAGGGATTTTGATATAACATAAAATATAAGAAATAAAATAATACATATAAAAGAGTACCATATATAAAAAACAATACGTAAATGAACGTAGATTACATAATATTTACTTTGGCACTTGATCAAAAGGAATTTTCATCATTCATAATCCCCATTTTTTTTAATTGGATAAAATTGTCAAAAATTTTTCCTAAATCATTTGTTAGGCATTTCTCGCACCACTTATTTTGCGCAATTGAATATATTTTTTTACATCCTATACAATAATCTTTATCTCGAAAAATTATAATGTAAACCATCGTATCTGGATTTTGTGATATTCCATAGATTTTAAAATTAGGTGAATGTGTTTCAACCTATTAAGTATTAAAAGATAAATTAAAATAAAAGATTTAAATTAAATTTGTGTAAAATTTTCATACCTCATTTAGAATTTCATCAATATCATGAAAATTATACAAATATTTTAAATGAACCACTTCATTTGATTTTTTGTTATATTTTCTTATATATCTATCCCAATATAATGGTCCATCTTTCCAATTTGCTGTAAAAAGATTAATGTCATGAAACTGATTATATGGTATCCATTCAAGTACTGTTTCATAAGGATCATTAATTTCGGATTGTCTTTTTTGAATAAAATTATCAATTTTTTCATTCCCACTGCTCCAATTAGTAAAATTTTCTTTTAAATAATTTATTTGGCATCGTTTACACCCCTTATTATCAAATATATTAAATATACAATTTATGCAAAAATCTCTTCGAATAATAAATTTAACTAATGCAGTTAATATTTGACAAAACATAATGCCAATGCCAAAAAAGAAAAGACAGATAATTGAGATAATTGAGAAAATATCCATCTCTTAAAATAAATAAAATAAAAATAAAAATATCGGAGATAAAGAATAAAATTTATGAAATCCTATGTTATATACTTTTTATATTTAAATATGATGTATATGATGGGGCTGAAGCTGACTGCGTTATTCAAAAGAAAGATTTTGTGTGCTCTGTATGGCTTTACGCCAGCCCGCATTATTTAGCGCCAAATTACAGTCTGCAGACGAAGCGTAGTATTGAAAAAAAAAATTACGATGCAATCTATGTTGAATATGTGTGTGATGAGATTGAAGCTATCCAAAAGGAAAGATTTGCGTTCATAGTTTACGTCAGCCTGCATTATTTAACGCCAAATTACAGTCTTGCAGATCAAATTATCGAAACGCAGTATCGAAAAAAAAAAAATTACGATGCAATGTATGTTGAATATGTGTGTGATGAGATTGAAGCTATCCAAAAAGAAAGATTTGCATTCATAGTTTACGAAAGCCTGCATTATTTAACGCCAAATTACAGTCTGCAGATCGAATTTTGAAACGCAGTATCAAAAAAAAAAAAAAAATTACGATGCAATGTATGTTTGAATAATTTTTTTTTTTCCTAAAGTACCGAATTCTGATCTGTCATTATATGTCATACAAATATCAATTAACGGTTTATCAATCGGGATAACAAGCGAAAAATGTTAATTACTTGATGATTTTCACGTGTCAATCATCGCAAATGACATTGGAAGTGGACTCCCAATTCTTCCAATTCCAATTCCAATAAAAATCATTGAAAGCCCATCACTTTGACTTAAAACATGACTCTTTAAATGATTCCAAAATAAAAGTATATGTAATTTTTTTACACAAGGAAAAGATTTTCTAGGTTAATACTGGCCGGTGGTAATTCAGATAGACTTTTTGTAAAATGCAAAAAAAAAATGACTTTTTTATATGTCAGTCAATTTATACAATTTATTGATAAAATTTTACTATTCGCTAATTTTTATTATTTAAATTATTAGATAAAAACAAATTTTTAAAATAGCTCAGTTACTCACTTACTCGAAAATATACCTAACAATCTAGTTACGCCCTATATTTTCTCAACAGCAAAATATTTATTAAATAGTTATTGACTTATTGGTCACAGGACCGATATATCAATAATGGTGTTATCATTCTGACGTTATTGATCGTGCATTAATTAATAAAACATCATAAATAAGCTTCTTCATTTTTATGCTATTTTTAGTCCGCTTTATTAGCTTTATTTAAACTTTTCCTACAAAATATTCATTTACTTTATTATATCAATCATGTGTTATTGCCATCATGTTTAATAAAAATATGATGAACGATAAGGTTTCTTATTGATAAACAAGTGAACTATTTACTGTGATTTGTGACATAATAATTTATTATACATTTGAATTTTTTTTAATTTGATTACATCAAGCAATAAATTAATATATATGTTCATTTTAGTAAGTACATTTGTACTTGTACATCAAAATAGAATAAAGTTTGTTTATCAAGAAAAAAAAATGCTTTGTATAATCCAGCAGATATCATTTGTGTAGTTTCTTAACAAAATATTTAAATAATATTAAAAATAAATGTCAACAACTGAAATATAAATTAAGTTAAGTACAATCAGCTATTGGAATAAGTATAAAAAATTTTACATTATTATTGGAAATATTATTTTGATAATTTATATCTCATAATTGGAAAAGTTATAAAACTATAATTTACAAACAATGATTAGTTAATTTTCATCTGCTTTAATATCTAAATAATTAATATTAAATAAAATTAATTTAACATAAATAGCAATTTTGCAAGATTAATTCTTTTATATATCATAGTACATACCTAATGACCCAGTCCCTTAATTATATAATCATTTAAATCTTCACTTACTAGCACTTCATTTGCTTTTACACTAGCTCGTGAATCTTCACTTTCAGGAATTTCATTCAACTTTTTACTAGTATTCTCATCTGTTTTAATAATTAAATAAATTAATTAATTTCATATAAATAATTTGCAAGATTAATTTTTATATATTATAATATATACCTAATGACTTCAAATCTCTAATTACACAAACATTCAAATCTGAATGTCTTGCATGATATGTTTGTGAATTTTCACTTTCAAGAATTTCATTCAATTTTTTACTAGTAAAATCAAGTAAGCGACTTGTAAAACATGCTTCAGGATGAGATTTAGTAGCAAGTTTGTTACTCCCAATTGGTGCATTTATAAATTCCATAATGTTGCTTTTTAATTTTTCATTAATTTCATCATCATCAGGATGGAAAATCCATTTTTTAATAATTTTTAATACTTCTTCAGAAGATGGTCTTTTTAATGGATCTTCATTCCAACATTTTTTCATTAAATCTACATAACATTGTGGAGTATTTTCAATAATTTCAGGACGTTCACCTTTACAAATACTTAAAGTAAGTTGAAGATCATGTGCTCTATTATTAAATGGTGGTATTCCAGATGTAAACTCCCACATAATCATAGAAAAACTATATATATCACTAGCTGGAGTATAAGATCTACCTCTTAAAATTTCAGGTGCCATAAATGATATAACACCATAAATATCATACTTTTTCAAAAACGATTTTACAGGTTGACATAATCCTAAATCACTAATATAAATTTTTCACCATCATGATTTAAAATATTACCATCATGAATATCACAATGAATAAGTTTTTCTTCATGTATCTTATTAAGTCCAGAAATAATTTCGTACAACATAAGTAATTTTTGATTCCAATTATTTTCGACTATTCCTGTTAAATTTTCTCTTAAATTACCTTTATTTGCATAATCCATTACTACCATATATTTCGATGTATTTGGATCTTCTGTGAATCCATAAAAGTTTATAATATCGTTTGAACTTAAAACAATTGCATTATATTCCCACTAGAAAAAATAATAATAATTTATTAATATAATTAAATTTTAATTTAAATTACAAATAGCAAATTATAACTATCATACTTCTTTCAAAAATTCATTTAAGTTTTCATTTAAATTCTTGTGATATTTAAGAATTACTTCTACATCATCATCATCATTATTCTTTAACCAAATAGCTTTGTATATTACAGTACCAAATCCTCCTTCATTAAGATATACAAAATTTTTAAATTTGTTATAAGGAATCCATCTTAATTTTTTTTCAAGAATAAAATCATCTATAATTTTATTTTCACTTTTCCCAAATCTATAAATTTAAAAAATTAAAATTATATTATAGATTGTATTATGATTAGGGATGGCAACGGTCACGGTCATTAACCGGTTATGACCGGTCATGACCGTGACCGATATCGGTCGGTCAAAGACCTCTGACCGACCGTTTGACCGACCGGTTTGACCGACCGGTTAACCGACCGTTTGACCGACCGTTTAACCGATCCTGAAAACGTTTGCGAAACGTAATTTAATAAAAAAAATGTTTCGCAAACGTTTTTTTAATTATTTTAATAGAAAACGTTGCGAAAACGTTTTTTATTAAGTATTTCAATTAAATTACGTTTCGCAAACGTTTTCAGGATCGGTCAAACGGTCGGTCAAACGGTCGGTTAACCGGTCGGTTAGACCGGTCAGTCAACGGTCGGTCGGTCGGTCAAAGGTTCTTGACCGGTTATGACCGACCGATGACCGACCATGACCGACCGTTGCCATCCCTAATTATGATTTATACAAAATAAATTATTACTTACTCTAAAATTTAAATAGGAATTTAATGAAATATAAGTCTTAATTTTTAAATAAATACATAAAATAACCTATGATTTACAACTTACCGACTAAAGTAACAGATATTTTTTAAATGAAAGAATTCAGTTAACAAATAAATATTATATAAAATATATAACAATAGAGTTACTTACAAGCTAGATCATAAATAATTTTTAAATAAAGAAATTAGTTTAAATTATATGTAAATATTTAACAATAAGTAATAAAAATACTTATAACTTACGTTCTATTAAATAAAGAAATTAGTTGATTTAAATTATATGCAAATATTATAACAATAAGTAATAATAATAGAATTAAAATAAATAAATTATGACTTATAAATTACAAAATAATTTTTTAAATAAAAAAATTAGTTAGCTTAAATTATATGTAAATATTATAACAATACTAAGTAACAATAGAATTAAATAAATAAATTATGACTTACAAACTAAATTAAATTACAAAATAATTTTTGGATAAAGAAATTAGTTAGTTTAAATTATATGTAAATATTATAACAATATATAATAATAGAATTAAATAAATAACTTACATTCTATATTATTAAATAATTTTTTAAATAAATAAATTGGTTAGTTTAAATTATATGTAAATATTATAACAATAAGTAATAATAAAATTAATAAATAACTTACCATCTATGAAATAATTTTTTAAATAAAGAAATTAGTTAAATTACGTAAATAATATAAATATAGATATCATATAACTTACACCCTGTAGTATTATTAATTATTAATTAGTTAAATATAGATAATATAAAAGTATTTACTGTAAATTAAATATATTACTTACAATCTAGTTATTTAAATTAAGAATATAATTAGTTGAATTATGTTAAAATATTAAACAAATAAATATAATATAATATATTGTAACTTACCATCTGTAATATAATTAATTATTAAATAGTTATTTAAACAAAGAATTTAGTTATTTGAATGTTTTGTATAATAAATAAAGTAAAGGACTAAAGATTTAAATAACTGATAACTTACCAACTATAGTATTATTATTAAATAAATTATTTAGTTGTATGGAATACAATAAAAATAATGAGTAATTCATTATTAACTTACGAGCTAAATATTTATTATAATTTTTATATAATATAGTTATCCTAGATAGTATTTGAATTGTTTATAAATAAAAATTTAATATTTCAGCCTGTTTGATATACCTCTAGATTCACCGGTGCCAATTTCTTCAATATTACTGGAAACTAGTTTTGTTATATTGCAAATTTGGTTTAATTATATTTGATTATTTATAATTAAGTTTTTTTAATAAATAAAAATCTTAATATTTCAATTTTACTTTGTATATTATATTTACCTTCAGGTTCTTGGGTATCACACAAAACTAGTTTTATTATATTGCAAGTTTGTTTTAATAATTTTGAATGATTCTAATTTATATTAGTTATTATTCATGTTATATGCTTTACCTTTACAAATACATTGGTCCATTGCTATATCAAAATTCTCCCTAATTGAAAAAGATAAAGTAAATATCTTTTTTCTTTTTTTCTTATTAAACACCCTTTATTATATGAAAATAATATAGAAGCATTGATCACAAGTACAAGCATTGCACCATTTATATGACAAACAAATTTTATATAACTAGAATGTACACAGCGAAATTCAATAAACCGGATCTATCGGTTCCACTAAAAATATCCGGTTTATCGGAATATCCGGTATAGCGAAAAAATTTTAATATACTGAAAATCTACTATTATACTGAATCTTCAAAAAATTCATACTAATAAAACTAATATACGCTATAATTTAATTTTTTCATCTTAGTTTTAAGTCGCAGAGTTCATGAAAATGAATATAAAATATTTTTAATTGAAGATATAAGTAATACATAACTTCAGCCGGAATTAAGATTTTTATAATTCTGGCCAAAGTTAAGATTCACAACATCATGTTACTTAAATTTTATTGGTTAATGTTCACGTGATCCGGATTATCGAATTTCACTGTGTAAACCAGATAAAATACATGAATAGCCTGGAAGAAATTCACCATATATGAATTGTTTAGTAAGTATTCATATAATTATTATAGGAAAAATGATATAAATATTATTTGCCTTGAGAAGATCATTGAAATCTTTGAGATTTTAGGTAAGAAATTGTATTAGAGATAAAAAATTAAGAGAGAGTATTGATGATTTGACGAAACACTAAATTATTCCTAATAATAAGTAAGTATGAAGAAAAATTTTCAAATTATCACTTTATAAAAATGATTACAAGCATTAGATTGATGACTATTTATCAGATTGTTGAAATAAATTATAATATTTCTTTTAATAAATAATAATTTGGAATTAGAAATTTAGAATTATTTAAAAAAAAAGGATTTATTTTTAATCATTTAACAGATATAACGTAAAATTAATAATGATAAAGAAAATGACTTAATCAAATAGTATAAATAAAATACAGTTTATTCCTTAGATAATTTAATATTTTTTTTTTTTACTACATGCATTGAATGTTAAATAGTTATTTTTTGATGACTTGAAAAACTTCATAGTCATCTGCAATAAACTTTTTTGGTATATCTATTTTAGGATAAGATACTGATTTATCGCTATACCAAACATTTTTATAAAGATTTAAATCAATACCCCTACCAAATATTGGACCATGAATACCATCAGAATTACGACCTATAGAATATGCATCACCATTACTATAACCAACTTTTGCACTGTCAAGGTTATTTCTATTTGCAAATGAGAACAAAAAGCTATCGCGAGTAGATTTCCATTCTACACTCGCATTTGGATGCCAACTAAGTGGGTTATATCCTCCAACTATTTGTTCCGAACCTAGAACTTTTACAATAACAATAGTAGCACCATTACCACATTTTTCATGAAATACTGCACATTCGTTACCATCCCTGCTGGCTCTATATAAAAGATTAAACCTATAAGGAATGTATCCACAGAATTATCTTTCCTATAAATCCAATTTGCAAAAACTGCAATGTGATTTCGGTCAATTATAACAGAATCAATGTAACATCTAGGAGGTCGCCTATCATTATTGAATTGCTGATTTTTAGTCATGTTAAATTGAATCATATTATTAACTAAATTATTTGGTAATATTTCTCTAAATGGAAATACTCTGGTAGCAAAATTTTCCGGAGAAATATGACAAAACCTTATCAATGGAATAAATCTATGAATAGTTCTCTCCATATTTGTGATATTGTCATTATTCCATTGTGTAGGATCTTGTGGAATGCTAGAATGTTGAGCCCGACACCATCTAATCAAATTATCCCAGATAACAATTTCGTCTAGCGGTAAATCGTCCCTGTTAAATAGTAACGCCAATAAAGATGTACTTAAACTGTTAAAATTACTTGAATTAAGTAATCTTTGAGGATCTTCACAAATTTTCTTGATGCAAATATTCTGTAAAACTATAAAAGCATTATTTTGATGAATCTTTTCAAGAATTTCAATAGAATTTTGTTGTACATAATCATCTTTATTTTTAATCAAATATTCCTGAATATAGTCGATTAATCTTTGAATATTAATCTCATTTACTGCTATCAAAAGATTTAAAATATCAGATCCAGCTAGTAATTGATCCAAATCAATCTTTCCGCAATAAATAAATCTGAAATTTAGCAAGCAAATTATTAGCATTTTGTATGATATCCATGTACAAGTAACTTTTACTATACCTTAAAATCATATTAAATAATTGAGGGGTAATATTAGGTAAATTAAAAATAAAATTTCCATTCTCCCTATTAAACGATCCATTAGAGAATTCTGTACGAAAATATTGAGACCTTGTACGTAATACAAATGAGTGTGCATAAATTTCTCTATTGTTATTACCAGCATAAATAATAACATCATAATCTACTATATTAGTATTAGTAAGTAAACTCTCATAATCATTGGCAACATCTTGAGGACATTCGAAAGGCATTTTTTAACAAAAGTTTGAACTAAATTGTTTCGTACGGGATAAAGAATGCTTAGTATTTGCACAAATTAACATTTATATATTTGTGTCAGTTACACCACATTTTTTTTAGTCATTGTAGCATTGTACGATCTTTCATGGTGTACAATCATATGAAATTACGAATTTTGATAAAATGTTGATCCTTTAATAAATAAAACCAAGTAACTTGTTTGTCGATCATGCTTAGGGATGGCAACGGTCATGGTCATTAACCGGTTATGACTGGTCATGACCGTGACCGATATCGGTCGGTCAAAGACCTCTGACCGACCGTTTGACCGACCATTCGACCGATCCTGAAAATGTTTGCGAAATGTAATTTAATAAAAAAAATGTTTCGCAAATGTTTTTTTAATTATTTTAATAGAAAACGTTGCAAAAATGTTTTTTATTAAGTATTTCAATTAAATTACATTTCGCAAACGTTTTCAGGATCGGTTAACCAGTCGGTCAAATGGTCGGTTAACCGGTCGGTCAGACCGGTCAGTCAAATGGTCGGTCGGTCAGTCAAAGGTTCTTGACCAGTTATGACCGACCGATGACTGACCATGACCGACCGTTGCCATCTCTAATCATGCTTATCAGGTTCAAATAATTATAACTTCACAAGTAATTCCTCGACAAAATTATCAGACATTGTGCTGATGTTTATCTGTACATGCTTGATGTTTTATCTGTACATGATGCTTGATGTTTTTATCTTTTCGTGCTTGGTATTTTATCTGTCCATGCTTGAGGTTTTATCTATCTGTACTTGATGTTTTTGTCCAACTTTATTGTCAAAATTAGTTTCTTTGTCAGCACAGGGATGATATCAGCACAGGGATGATATTTTGTCAATCATGTTTTTTAAGTTTAGCATAGTTTTTACACGAAGAATTTTTTTTTATTTTATTGGCTTTTTTTTTATAAAACAAATTTTGTAGAGAATGTTTATTTTTAATATAGGCAAAGGCTTTTTTTGATAAAATTCTTTTGGAATTTTTTTTTTAATAAAAGACTTTTTTGATAAAAAATTTCGTTAGAGAATTTTTTTATTAATAGAGACATTTCTGAGTTTTTTTTTTCGATGGATAATTTCGTTAAAAAATTTAAATTTCATTAAAAAAAAATATTATTAAAAAAAAAATCTTATTAAAAAAAAATTCTCCAATAAGATTTTTTTTTTTGGACATATACCTAATTTGTTGGAACAATTTTTTTTAACAGGATTTTTTTTTTTGATAGAGAATTCATTGAGAATTTTTTTTTTTTGCAGAAAATTCTTTGGAGAATTTTTGATTTTTTTTGATAAAAATAATTTTGTCAGATATTTTTTTAACAAATGAGGTAAGAATTTTTTTTTTAATAGGAGGGAGTTTTCCTTGATAAAGAATTTCTTTTGAAAAGTTTTTTTAATAGGTGAAAGTATTTTTTGACGGAGAATTTTATTAGGAGAATTTCGGCAAAGATTTTTTTTTTAATAGGAGAGGAATTTTTTTTTTGATATAGAAATTCTTTTGAGAATTTTTTTTAATAGGTAAGAATCTTTGAATTTTTTTTTTTAATAGGGAAAATGTGTTTTTTTATGGAAGATTTTCGTTAGAAATTTTTCTTAATCGGGGATATTTTTTTTGATTGAGAATTCATTAGAGAATTGTTGGTTGAAAAGTTTTTTATTTTTTTGATGGAGAATTTTGTTAGAAGTCTCAATAGAAAATTTTATTGAAAACAGTTTATTTTTAATAAGAGTATTGAGAATTTTGGCTTGAAATTTATTTTTTTTAATAAAGAATTTCATTAGAGACTAAAATATTTAATAACATAAATAAGATTAAGATAAAATTAAAAAAAAACTATGATAGAATCCTAAATAGCATAGTAAATTAAGCAAATTTTATATACTGAGCCGAGCCAGCTTGCAAGCCGAGCCATACTTAATAAATTGGCTTGATGCCGGCTCAAAAAAGCTCAAGATGGCTCGCCTACAAAGTAATAAAATAAAAATTAATCATTAGTATTTTTTTTTTTTTTTTTTTTTTTTTTTTTAATTTCATAAAAATTTTTTTACAAATTTACATAAAAAGTTTTTAAATTTTAAAAAAGTATATAACAGAAATTTGTTTGAAGTGTTTTTTCTTTTTATCATTAATAATATTAAATAATTGGCTTTTTAAACACCTACTTTGATGTATCTAATTTTTGATCGGTTATTATTTCAAAAGATATTTTATAAAAAAATTTTTGTAAACATATTTATTCAAAATAATCTTATTTAATGAAATTTTATTTGCAAATATCAAAATTCAAGTCACACATTTACGATTTTAAAGAAAAAAATCACTTTATTGAAGTGTACAAATAAAAGAAACAATAATTACAAATAAAAGATAATTAAATTACAATGATCAAGGGGAAAGATGCTAATAAAAAAAATGAAATAACAATGGAGTAATGGAAAGTAATAGAAGATAAAAGGGAGTAAAAAATAGTAATGAGAAGTGATAGGAAACAAAAGGAGAAATAGGACATGATGAGAGATAAAAGGAGTGATGGGAGACGAAAAGAATTGATGGGAGATGCAAAGGAGTGATGAGAGACGAAGGGGAGTGATGGGAGACGAAGAAATGATGGGAAGATGAAGAGGAGTGATGGAAGACGAAAAGAAGTGATGGGAGATGAAAAGGAGTGATGGGAGACGTTAATTTTGGCCAAAATGATCGACATTCCGATATGAAAAGAAGTGATGGGAAATAAGATGAAAAAAAAAATTTCAAGCCAAAAAACTTTTCAACCAACAATTCTCTAATGAAAATCTCAATCAAAAAAATATCCCCGATTAAAGAAAATTTCTAACGAAAATCTTCCATAAAAAAACACATTTTCCCTATTAAAAAAATTCAAAGATTCTTACCTATTAAAAAAATTTTAAAAAGAATTTCTATATCAAAAAAAAAATTCCTCTCCTATTAGAAAAAAAAATCTTTACCGAAATTCTCTATCAAAACAATCCCCCTATTAAGAAAAAATTCTCTAATAAAATTCTCCGTCAAAATATACTTTCACCTATTAAAAAAAACTCCCAAAGAAATTCTATCAAACAAAAAAATTTTTTTAAAACTACGCTAAACTTAAAAACATGTGACCGACAAAATATCAACCCTGTGCTGACAAAGAAACTAATTTTTGACAAAGATAAAATTATCGAGTATAGTTGGATTAAATCAAACACAGTTGGACAAAAACATCAGATAAAAACATAAAGCACGGACGGATAAAAATGTCAAGCATGGTCGGATAAAACCATCAAGCACGTACAGATAAAAACATCAAAGCACGTACAGATAAAAAATATCAAGCACGTGATACCTTCATAATGTCTCAAAACCGTTGGCGATGCGGGGCAGCAAAAGTCTTACCAAAAGTCTTAAGATAAACATCAAGCATGATCAGCTTCTACTTCCAGAACCCACCAACTACTACATAAAGAGAATCGTGGAGGTCAAAATTAGAAACATGAGGACAGATTAAAATTAAAACCACCAGCTCAACCTGGTAATCTTGTTACAATATAAATTTACCGATCAAATTGTTTTATGAAATAATTCTATGGTAATTTCTTTTGATATTTTTTTTTTATTATTTATTAATAATTATTAATTAAAAAGTAAAAAAGATCTTTGGTATTGTGGCCTTTGTGGCTTGTGGGTGGTGGATGGTTAATTTAACGTTAAGAAATGAACAAAAAGTTAACGTTAACGTTAAGTTAATATAACGTTAACATGCATTTTTTTTAAATTTTAATTAAGTAAAACTCATCACGGCGGATTTATGAAATGCCTCGCCCGTCATGTCAAATTAAATAAATATTTGACAGTATTTTAGTCACAAATTTTATTTAAGTCCCTAAATTTATTAGTGAACAGTCAAAAATGAGCCCAAAATTTTTTTTGTACCACCCATTTTTCCAGTGTTAAATGTACGTCATTCTTTGACATTTTTTAGGGAAAAAGCTTAATCGATATCACATGTTTTTGTAATGGTTAAGAAAAGCGATTTTAAAGTATTTGATTTGCGGATAATTTAATGGATAGAATGGATAGATAATTCCGATCGATTTTTTTTTTTTGGCTAAAATCGACCTTAAAAGCTTTTTTTCTAAAAAAAAGTTAGATTTCTAATGTCGTTTCTATTAAAAAGCATTTTTGATGTTTTTTATTAATCGAATTAGTCTAAGAGTCAAGTCAAAGTAGGGCTTTAATCACGCGTTTATTATATATACAAATCCATTAATCTGGAAATTATTTCTTTCATTATCTTTAGTATCTTTTAAAAATCTAAAAATCTTTAAAGCAATGAACTTTCTTTCTTTAGGTATCTCTTTTTTTAGGTAATTATATATACATATTTCTAGATTTATTACCAAATTTTTACAGGGTACATTTGAAATCTTTGTATGAAGCTTAAAAGTGCAAATGTAATTTATTTTATATTTTCCTTTTTCATAAGATTGAATCCTTAGTACGGATATGAAAATGAAGTTACAAAATATTTTAATGTTAAAGGCTAATATATTTTATATATTAGTAGTACCTAATATAGATGTTGAAGCTTTTACCAAAGAATCTCTCGGGTGTATAATATTAGAGTTGTTTTTCTCTGGTAGGATTTAAATAGAAGAAGAGACTGTGGTAAAGACGATTTTTGTGCACATGAGTATATTAAAGTAAATATTTTCTGTAATCTTTAATTATACTCTTATTAATTGATCAAATGACAAATAATATTCCAAGCGAACGCTCTCAATCATCAACAATCCTTGCATCTGACACGACTAATTTCTCTAATATGTCAAGTGTCAACAGATATTCATTCCAAAGCCGTTCTTTTCAAAAATTAACTCGTTGGAAGAGAATTGAAACAAGAAGGCGTTACTTTTTTTAAATAAGAATACAACGAACTCTATTATAAACTCGTTACAAGGAAAAATTCAATCACTGGAACAAAAAAATTAAATTATGGAACAGGAAATAGTCATTGTTGTAATAAGGAATAATATTTTTACGAAAATATTTAACACATAGTCAGAAAATAATTCAATGTAATGAGATAAATTAAAACTATACACATTTTTAAGATAGAATCAAATAACTTTATAGAAATAAAAATAAAAAAATTTTTTTTAAGATAGAATAAAATTATACAAAAGTATACGAGATTATGGTGTAAATATTATATACTCATTGAGACATAGATCCCGAAAGGTATGACTAGAAATTGTATGGAATATAGTACAATAGATTTATCTAGTTTCACTGAAACCACCGATGGTGCAATTGCATACGTTTATGCCAACAAGATTGTCTGATAATCCCGGTTATAATATATTTATAATAAAATATTCACGTTTAGTAATATTAAAAGGTAAATTCTCTCATTTTATCTCTTTGTCGGATATAGTAGAATTAACCAGTTGCGAATACATTTTTCGAACTATAACTTTTTATTATTTTATGTAAAAATTTTTATGAGCTGTTGAACAGGAGCGACTATATTATTTGATTCACGAGGTACTCGTAATAAATTAAATTATACTAGAAATTGTACTGTGTAGACGTGCGCATAATTTTCGAACTACGTAATGACTAATGAAGCAAGACAACCGTGATCGTCAAAAAATCTCCAATAATAAAACTTTTATGATACTTTAGACAAATCTGCGCAAAATTTACCGCTTATTTAACATTTGTGATATAACATTTAGCATTTAATAAACGCATAGTTTATTGTATTTATTATTTTAAAAAATAAATTTATTGTACATAAAAAGGTAATAAAAGATTTGATAATAATTAAATGCTTATTAAATGCTAAAAATAGCATAATAATAAGCGGTTATCATGTTATAGGTTGTTGATGGTAGATGATACACCCCATTGTCTCGAGTTTTTTCCTATATTTATATACTCTAATACATATTCAAATAGTGGATAACTGAATGTTATTGGATCAAAATCATGCGGTCCGCAAATTTCGCAGTAATTTTTACTTACCGGATTTGGGAAATAAAACTATTCGAATTAGGTTATAATATAATAAAATGTAACTTCTTATATATTCACGTGATTAATAACGGATAAATTTCGGCCTGAAATATCCAAATATAGAAAGAATTTTCCGTATTTAGGAGTTGGTGAATCAATATGCTGAAACATTAATTATTCCTTATATTTACAAACAAAAAAACTTTACTTATTTACTTGGCGTTATTTTTAGATTCTCATTTAGCAATGAGAAATTACTGCGTCATTTGATGATAAAATTCAACATCAGATATATATAAAAGCGTGTATCATTTTTGTTAAAAAAAAAAATTAAACTCTTCCTAAATATCTTTTTTTTTTTAAAAAAAAAAAAGAAAAAAAAATGTATCAAACGATTATTTTAGGATCTGTACTATTGGTAACGCTTTACGTTTTGAAGCGTATGCGTGATCCAAAATTGGTATGATAAAAATTATCGAATTTTATTTTTATTTTTTATTTTAATTTATTTTATTTATTTTATATATATATATATATTTTTAGGATATGCCACCACTCGTTCGTTATAAATATCCAATTATTGGACATACTTATGATTTTGTGACCAATAGTGAAGGACTCCTTAAACAATGTAGAAAAGAGGTTTGTTAAATTCTGTAAACTTACGAATTTTTTGGCGTCAAAAAATTTAATTAACGTTAATTAACTTTTCAATTATTGTATTAGTACGGTGATATTTTCAGTTTATATATTTGGGGTGAAGTAAATACATTTGTTGGTAAGATATATGTCATTTTATGATAAATCAACGATAAAACAAACAAATTTTTATAATCGAATTAATAAATTTCTTTTACGATCTTATAGGAAAAGAACATATACAAGAAGTGTTAACAAGAGATGATTCATTTGATTTTGGACGAGCATTCGAAAAATTTTTACCATTAGCTTCATTGCTTAAAAGTTTAATTAAATTTACAAATTCGACAAAAGTACTTAAAGAATCTATCATAAATAAACTAAAATTTTATACTGGACGTATGCAAAAATGTCTCAATTTGGCCACTCAAAGATATATCGGTGATTGTGATGAACCAAAAGTTATTAGAAATATATATCCTTTAATGACTAGAATTATTGCTAATCCAATTGCAAATATGTTTGTTGGTGAAGTAAGTATATTTATAATTTAATATATATATTTTTTTATTTTGGAAAAATTTTATAAATTTACATTTTTTTATATATATTTCTTTTATAAAGGAGGAATCACAATATGATGATGTTATAAGTACATTTTCAGAATTTACGACTGATGCAGTAAAAATTATGAGAATTCCACCGTTTCTTGATTTTATCTATCCAGGACTTCAATATTTCGTCAAACATATTTTGTTAAGTTTAGAATTATATAATCCAGCAGTTAAACATCGAAAGGTACTTATTAAACACCTTAAAAATCAAATTACTAAACGGTTACAAGAGAAAGAAAAATATGGAAATTCTTGGAAACGTCCTGATGATTTCATTCAAGATATTATGGAAGAAGAAAGTTTTGATCCTAATAATATTAATTATGAAGAAATATCAGATAAATTATGTTTATTTATTTTCGTATCGATTCATACGACATCAAATAGTTGTACACATGCTATTATGAATTTAGCATCTCGACCTGAATATGTACAAGAATTATATGAAGAACAATTGGAAGTTCAAAAAGTAGCAGATGAAAATGGTTTACTTCCATTTGAAGCACTTAATAATATGGAAAAATTAGACAGTTTTGTTAGAGAGTCTTTAAGATTATCTGATGGTTTTGCAACAATTCCACATATTGCATTAAAAGATTATACGTTCTCTAATGGATTACAAGTACCAAAAAATCGTCCAGTCTTTCTTTATGTGAATGATGTTTACCTAGATGAATCTTTACAAGGACCAAATCCAAAATCATTTGAACCATTCAGACATGTAGATACGAATGCTTCGGCTTCAAAAATCGGTAAAAACTTTGTTATATTTGGAGGTGGTAAACACGCGTACGTATCATTTAATTTAATTTTGTTTTTTTTAAAAAAAAAATATCTTTTGCAAATATAAAATAACCTAATTATCGTTAAATTATTTAGATGTCCTGGAAGACAACTTGCTGTAAACGAAATTAAATTCTTTTTACATAATATTATATTAAAATATAATTTACGTACTGAAAGTGGTAAAATTGAGGGACCAAACATATTTGGTCCAGTAAAACGTCCAAGCGATGCTGGAATTATTTTTGAAAAAAGAAAATAATTGTGAAAAATATACATCAACATTTTTTTTTTTAATTAATTAATTCTTTTCATTAAGTATTTTTGCATTTAATATAAATATTTTACGCCTTAATTTTTGTTTTTTAATAAAAAGAAAACAATCTTGATAGAAAAATTTCGATAGTAACCTTTATCTGTTTATGGAAATACGATTCTTAATATGCAGTAACTGCATTGTTACTACATTGTTAGTAAATATGCAGTTACTGCATATTGAGGAATTAAGTTTTCGTAAAGAATATATTAAAGTTTAGACGTAAATAATTTTAAATAATTTCGTTCGTACGTTCAATTAGAATTTTTCAAACAAATCTAAAATTTTATATAATTTAAAAATTAAAAAATCTTGCTAAATTCTTTTCTACAACTATGATATAATACTATATTTCTAAAATTATATTATCAGAATTTTATTCGACATAACGGATATTCGCTATATCGGATCAAACGTGACCTTAATCAAAATGGTTCGAGAACCAATAAAATTGGAGCAATTGTTCTTAATTTTGGCCAGAATTATAAAAATTTTGATTCCGGCTGAAGTTAACTGATATAATCAGAAAATATTTCAACACTCATTTATCGAAATCGCAAAAATGTATTGTTCAAATTTGTTTTCTGATATCTTAAAGTTGGAAAAGTTATAATATATTATTTTTGTCATATAATAAATATAATAACTATTTTGAAATTTGATTATAATGGATTTGCAGTGCATCGTACTCTTTTCGCCATATCTTTTTTTTTTTTGAAATACGAAATTTTTTTAAGAAATATATATCAACAATACATTTTTTTTTCTTAATACGATACAATTCAAAAGAAAATTTAAAATTTTAAATAAACTAAAATAACTAAAATATTTTTCTTTTAATCAATTAATTTTTTCGGTATATTTTTGGGGCGTTTATAATTCAGCGAAGAGGATTAAAGGAATCAGGTTATTAAAGATAACTTTTTTTCGTTTATAATAATATATGTGGGAATGGAACCCGGTATATTCCGAATTCACGTGGTGTCAGATCATATCAAGTCATGTGGAAATAGAATATCATACGATCCAACCTACAGTATTTACTGTACTGGAAGTTTGACACATAATTTCTTTCCATGTCAAACCAGAAGAATATTTTCTTTTTTTTTAAAAAAAAGACTTTATGATGATTTAGCTAATAAATATCTTGAAAAGGAACCTCGTGAGTTGTGACTATGGTCTTATTATCAGTTACAATTGGGATCCAATGTAATGTTTTGCATTTTATTAATTAAACAATTTATGTGGAAACGGAATATTCTATTTCCACATGATATGATATAATCCGAAATCCACATTATGTAGATTCGGAATCCACCGGATTCCATTCTTACCTACAACTTATACTGTATACACTATACATAGTATAAATATTGAAATATTGGCGTTTATTGAAAATTATAAATATTAAAATAAATATATTATTATATTTGCGAAAAATGCGAAAAACTTAAAATACAAGAAAAAGCAAAGTTACTTTTTCGTTACAAAAAATAATAAATAAATAAATAAATTTATAAATTATAATATAAAAATCATTTTACATTATTCGCATGTAGTATCTATGCAAGTACAATATCACAAATATAATAACCTCTTTATTATCACTTTTGAAAGTGTGATAGTTGCGTGTATTACCATTTCTCATCTTCAAAAAAATTAATGTTTTAACGTTAAAAATGAATTTTTTATTAATGGATTATTTTTTATTTGATCGTCTCGATACCGTTGACCGTTTGATAACATCAGATTCAAGTTTATATAAAACGAAAATATTTATGAATGAAATTTATAAATATGGTCTTGAAATGATGTTGTGTACTGTAATAATTGTTTTTGTATCCAAAATCAATGAAAATCATGCGCATCATGTATGTCCATTACAAGTTTTGCATGGAAATCATTTCTGAAAAGGGAATAAATCAAAATTAAAGCCACCGAACTTTGAAACACTCGTTCCTGTATTAAGTCAACTGTAAATAAACGTACAGCGGATTTCGTTTAAAATGGCGTGATTGCTTAATACGCAGTAGCGTGATGATTAAAATGCGAATTAATTATCATCAATTGTAAAATTATACGACTATTTAATATTAAAATTTGAATCTAATTTTAAAGAAAGGAGCAAAAGAATTCTAAAAGTTATTCATTCATGATCTAAAGCTTATGAAAGTATTAAAAAGTTTATTTGTTAATCAATATGATGTAAAATTATGTTATTGTGCGACGTCAAAAATGTGAAACCATGGTATCGTACATAAAAATCGGAATTGATATTGCGAAGTGGCTATTGTCATTTCTTTCAAGATTACCCGATATGTACTGTTTTATGTTATTGTAACATTTGATTATGTGGATATGGACTGTATATATATAGTAATCTCTCTCTTCCTGAATATCTGAAAATTAGAAATTTCCTTGAATAAAATAATACTAATAATGGCGGAACTCGTGGTCGCTAAAACTGCTATCCCATTAATTCTCACTTTCTTAGGACAATTTGCAAAAAAATTCAAAGGTTTTAAAACAAGTGCAACCGTTACAATTAATAACAAACATAGAGAAATGAAACTTATCGCCCCTGAAATTTTCTCACCTGGAGAAATCGAAAACCCACTGGACTGGAGTATAAACCCAGGAGAGACACCAAAACCATCGTAAGAAATGTTATAGGTTTTCGTAATAAATAAGAGTGTGCATTTAAACAATAAATTTTTTTAATACAAACATTCTGTAGAAAATTCTTTGCTAAAATCGGTAAGTTCACTTCACAAGGAATGATAACATATGAAATCTTTGGACAAAGAGGACCAAATGGGAGTCCTCTATATCTTATAGTTACATGGAAAGTAAGTAATTATCGGACGGTTTATTATTTTCGACTATTGAATATGTTACGCTTGAACAATAGTTAATCATTATTTATATGCTTAGGTAAAATTAAACGGAGGCAGTAATTCAATAGGTATCGATGTCCTTGAATATGAAGACCATCCACTTAAAAATAAGTCTCTAGAAGAAAAGTATAACTTGTACAAGGAATTGCATAAAAGAAATGCAGGTCAAACCGAGTGGCCTACATACAATAACGGAGCCTTTTTTAGTATCGGAGGAACAGTGGATACAAAGTATGTATACTTTATTGTGTCAGCATTGAAAGTATTCCTATCATTATTTAATAATAATAATTTCTCTCTATTTTAGGCGTAACGCAAAAATCATAATTACTTTTGATCATAATCGCAGAAATCCGTTTTAAATATTTTAAATATTTTTGTATAGGAATTAAATCATATTAAAAAAATTTTTAAACTCTATAAGTGAAAGGAAAGTAGTGTTAGATTTGACACGAAAAATTTATTTCTTTAGTTATTTTTTTTAAAAAAAAAAGTACAAACTTGAAGGTTTTCATTGACCTTTTTAATATCATAAAGCTTTTTTAATTTTCATATGTATATACTGTATATGTATTGTTACAAATTGATAATACGTCATATACAATGGTAAATATTAAAAGTAATAAAAAATTTCATCGAATTAAATTTAATGTCGTATAAATTATATTTATGGTATATTGTATATTTATTTTTATTATTATAATTTTTTAATTAATCTTTTGGTAATTTGCGAACTAGTTTTCAAATATCCGGTCCATATTTAAAGAAAAATTAAAAAAGTTTCGTTAAGATTATTGCGCATTATGAAGAGACTTGGAGTAGAAATTTGAAGAGACCCATTAATTATACAATTTTTTGGATAATCTCCAATAAAAATATTTCATTTAATAATCACCCATACTGATTAACAAATGTGGAAATGTTTCCATTATTTTGCAGTTTGCCGCAGGTGCAGTAAACTTGCGGCTAGTGACGCTGATCGATCTTACAACATTACTGCGCCTGCGGCCAAATCTAACATAATTATATCACGTGATTGAAAATAAAAGTAAATTTATTTGCACGTCTCCAAAACATATCTTCATTTCTCTTTCTAACTCAATAAAAAAAAGGAAAAAAAATAAAAAAAAAATACAAAAAATAGATAAATTAAAAAAAATTTTATTGAAACTGAAGATGGATGGATATAATGTAGTAATCGCTTATCTAGGTTGATTTATGCATTCCTAAAAATAATAAGCGTTAATAATTTATTCATTGGCACAAATAACAAATTTCTAAAAAAAAAAATTGTTTTCAAATAATAATACTTGTCCAGTAACCAACCTTAAAATTATGAATTAATTAATTAATTTTAAATTTTTAAATTCATAATTTTATATTTAAAAAATGATGTTCGATAGATTTCAATGTATAACTTTAATTCATTATTGTAAATTGACATTGAGCAAAAATTTACTGGATCATATTATTACATACGTTATGTAAGTATTTTATTATAATTTTACCTAGCGCCTCTATAGTCTTTATAACAGAATTCAAATGAAATGTTTAGTAAGCACTAAGCTATAATGATTAGTGATTAGATTATTTCTGGTCTGTCGTCACATTTATAGATTAATAAAAGTGAAAACTAAATTAACAAACTTCAAAAAATTGAGATATATTTTGAAACTTAATTTTATCGCTTATTTCATTAACAAGCTATCAGTCAGTCAATATTAATAATAACATACGTGAATATTTGCTTTTTTTTAAAAATTTTTAGCTAGTTCAAAACTTATTCACGGCATAATAATATACTTAAAAGAATAATAATATAATAAATTTTGATTAAATTTATAATAATGCGAACTTGCGATTTTAAGTACACAGATTAACTTGATGAATAATTATTGGAATTTGTAGATTTTTATATTTATTTAAACAAATAATAAAATATTTCCTCCATAAAACGGTTGGACTAAAATCAATAATCAAATTATTCATTTTTTAATAACTTGAAAAACTTCATAATCCTCTACATCAAAAGAATTATAACTACCCGACATATAACTTTGTGGCATATCAACTTTAGAATAAGAACAAAAGCCTGGATAGTTTTTCCATTTACTATCACTATCTTGAAATAAGTCATGACCACCGCCAAATGCTGGTCCACAATTTTGACGACAATATATAGCATTACCATAATCTGTGTTAACATGACCCACTTTTGCACTGTTATGATCATTTTTATTCGTAAATGAAAATAAAAAACTATCCCTTGTAGACTTCCATGCATTTGAACCCCATTGAAGTGGATTATAACCTCCCAATATATGTTCCGAATTTGGAATTTTTAATATAACAATAGTAGCTCCTTTATTATCACACTTAGTATGAAAGGCTGCAGCTGTGTTACCATCCCTACTAGCACGATAAAGTAAATTGAAATTATAAGGAATGTTTCTTGAAGCATCTTTCTTTTCAATCCAACTAGAAAAAATAGCAAAATGTTGTGGTCCAATTATAACAGAACCATATACATTTTTTGACTTTCTAGGGGGTTGTATATTAAGACTAGATTTCTTACTTGGTGCCATATGAAATGCAAGTACATTATCAAGTATATCTTCAGGTATTAATATTTTAAAAGGATATACTTTTAAAAAAAAATCTTCCGAATCTACATGGTAAAATCTAATTAAAGGAATAAATTTATGAAGAGTTCTTTCCATAATTGTAATTTCTTCTTTATTCCATTTCTTAACATCTCGTTGAATAGAAGGATGCTGAGCGTAACCCCATTTGATTAAGCTATCCCATATATCAATTTCGTCCAATGATAAATCATCTCTTTTTAAAAGTAATTCTAATAAAGGTGCTTTTAAATTTGTAAACTTATTAGATTTAAACAATGTATCTGGCTTAGCACAAATTTCTTCAAGATAATAGTTCCACAAATTTGTAAAAGTTTCACGTTGGTAGACAGTTTCAAGAATTTCTAAAGGATTTTGTTGTAAAAACTCATGTTGATGTTTAATCAAGTATTCTTGAATACAAAGAATTAATGTTTGAATTTTTAGTTCATCCACTGCTATCAAAAGTTTTAGGATATCTGGTCCCTGTAATTTCGACAAATCGATCTTCCCACAATAAATAAATCTAAATATTAAAAAAATATACATATTGAAGTTATCGTGGTAGTTTATATTAATACATATTATTTCAATACTTATTTTTCTCATTACCTTAAAATAATTTTATAAAATTGGGGAGAAATATTAGGAAAATTAAAAACATATTTTCCATCCTTCTTCTCAGACCGCTCCTTAGAGAATGCTGAACGAAAATATTGAGACCTAATGCGTAATAAAATTGAATGTGCATGAAATTCTTTCATATTTTTATTTTCACCAGAATAGATAATAACATTATATTCTTCTTCTGCTTCAAATAATTTTTCCAAATCATTGATTATTTCTTGAGAATATTCAAAGGACATTTTTTAAGAAAAAGAAATTTGTATTACACAATTTTACGCACAAAGTTTGATCGACCCTATTTATTCTTACAAATGACAAATCACATGATAAATCTTGGCTTGTGTTCACTAATTACAAATTCGTAAAAATTTAAATAAAATATATAAGAATTTAATTATACAATACAGTAATAAATTTTTCTAAATCATATATTTTTATAATTTATTTTATTTAAGGCTGAATGAATAAACATACAATTCGTATAAATATAAAACTTTTATTTAATACAGCATTACAACATATCGGCGGATTTTAATTCATCGGTCAAATATGCAAATTTTGTTATACAAATATAATATATAAGTTAAAGTGGTTGATCTAGTGATTCAAAAAGAGGCATGTAATTTTAAAAGAGGTTCCTTAATGTACGCATCATGTGTACGATATTAACGTACGCACTGGCCCAAGATTGGGAGTTATGCACTTACACGTGATAACGTTAAACTTAACTTCCGGCCGGTGCGTACGTTAATATCGTACACATGATTTGTAAGTTAAGGATGCTCATTTTAAAAAATGCGATTTTGCGCAATCTTAATTCCGGCCAGAATTATGCGTAATTCTGGCTAATTTAAAAATTTGAAATTTAGAAATTTTAGATTCTATTAATTTTATAAGTTAAACACTTACTTTTGAGCAATTTCCGGCAATATTATCGTCGATCGATAATATACTGGTAACACTATCACAACGCATATTAAATGTTGTTGAATCAGAAAAAGAAAAATATATTTCATAAGACAGATGAAATAAACTTTAAGCAAGTAACATTTCAAATGTATATAATGTTAATTTTGGCAATTAGATAAAGTTGAAAAGATAAAACGAGTTGAAGCAGTAGTTAAATCATTGGATAAGGGACATGTTTCTAGAGAAGCATATTGATCTTTAGCAAAAATCGAATAAATATTCCAACGTGAAGGAGAGAGATATATTTTTTCAACACTTGATACTAATTTAAGACCAAATAATAGGATCAGACTCCTTCTTCAAGCTCCCAATAATTTAAAATAGTTTTAAGTATTTGCAATAGAAAAAGTCTTTAATAAATATTACCTGATAGGGATCTGCATTGGACTCTTATTTTACAACCCGGACTATCATTATTATCAATTTGTTACGAAAATCCGGGTTTAACGAAAAATCATGTGCCGGCCTGGACCTGGCCCGAGTGAATATTGAAAGAAAATTTGCCAGCCCAAACCCAGAACTGGGTTCAGGCTGGGCCCAAGTTTCTGGGTTCCGGTTCTGTTTGTAGGCCTCTATTACCTGATAGTATTTGCAAGCAGCATTCGTTGAAGATTCTGACGGAGGATTGTACTTCACTTGTAAATTTGTACCAAAACAAACTCTAAATAAAGGTTTTGACTCCACATATTCAATTGAATATTCAACAACATGATTCGCTTTTCCATATTTAGTTTTAGCAACATAATTATGAGGAATTAGATGGTTGGCATAATTTCATAAGGGAAGAAAATATTTAAAATTGCTTTCTTCTCTCATTTTAATTGTTATGATTTTTAAAAAACTTTTTTATGTTAAAAATTTTTTATTTTTATTTTTATTTTTTGTAGATATGAAATTTTTTTTTTTCATGAATATTTTTTAATAGGTTACGTGTAAAAATAGATTACTAAATTAGTACCCACATCAGGAAGTTTTTAGGTGGGTCGGTCCATGTAATTCCACGTGGGTTTGCTCAGAAATACGTGGAATTCCACACATTCCCAATATCCTATATCCGAATTTCGTGGACTTATGCTGAAAATACCACGTGTTTCGTCACAAGGTATTCGGAAAATACTGGAACTATTTAGATTTCCACATATTTCCACAGTATTTGATGTGGATTTCCATGTGGATTTTAAACGGAAAAAAATTCCTGATGCAGTAAATAGTTTTTGTATAAATTTGTACCAAATGGGCTCATTATATAATTGGCTCTAGATTGGCTTAAATTTGGATTATTTTTTGCATAAGTTTGAGCTAATTTCGAGCCAATGAGCCCGTCTGGTATAAATTTATACAAAAACTATTTACTGGGGTATCGTTTCATTGCTAAATTAGTTAAATTGATACTAATTATAATATAAATAAATACGAAATAACCAAATATGAATTGTCCAATCATACTCAAATTCCGTGATCTGTATGAAATCTCATGTACCATAATTGTACTGATATTTATATTATTTTATATTCTATAAGATTTTATCATCCAGTTTACATTTTAAAAATCCTGTTAATTATAAAAAGTTGGGCTAAATTAGTCAAATAATAAGTGTCAATAGAAAATAATATTTATATAGGAATAATACTAAAATTTTAATTTTGTATGCGAGGTTTTTTATTAAATAAATTAATAATATTTTTTTAGATAATCTCGAAGACTGTATATAATAAAGAATGGTCAACATTTCTTTTTTATTTGAATTTGGAGTTCTTAGTATATTATATATATAGCAAAAAAAAAAAAAAAATTATATATAGTAGCAGGGTACAATATATATATATATAAAGTAGTTGTGTAATTTAGTTTGTTACAAAAGGGTGTAATCATACTAACGTATGAATTCCTTTTATCCTTTATAAGATATAGCGATCAAACTTTTAGAACTGGATATAATGAAAGATTAAATTTTTAAAAAGAATTGTTATCAAATAGTTAAAAATTTTTTTTTATTAACAGTTTTATTTATTGTATTGATTTCAAAAATCAGATATATTCGCGGAAAATTGGAGATTTATTTATAAGGAAGATCAATGAACAAGATCAAATTTTAAATTTTTAAATTCATAATTTTATATTTAAAAAATAATATTCGATAGATTTCCAATGTAAAGCTTTAATTTATCATTGTAAATTATGTCAATGAGTGGGAATTTACGTTATATAAAGAAATATTATAGTTTTAACAAGTATCTCTATAGTCAAAAATGAAATTATTTTTAACAGAATCCAAATGAAAATGTTTAGTAAGCAGTTATAATGATTAGTGATTAATTTATCTCTGGTCTGTCATCACATTTATAGATTAATAAAGTGAAAACTAAATCAACAAACTTGAAACTTAATTTATTGCTTATTCTATCAGTCAGTTAATATTAATAAAAACATACGTGAAATATTTGCTTTTTTTAAAAAAATTTTAGCTATTTTAAGTACACAGATTAACATGATGAATAATTATTGGAATTTATTTTTATATTTATTTAAACAAATAATAAAATATTTCCTCTATAAAATGGTTGGACAAAATCAATAATCAAATTGTTCACTTTTTAATAACTTGAAAAACTTCGTAATCCTCTACGTCAAAAATATTATAACAACCCGACTTATGACTTTGTGGTATGTCAACTTCAGAATAAGAATAAAAACCTGAATAATTTTTCCATTTACTATCACTATCTTGAAATAAATCATGACCACCGCCAAATGCTGGTCCATAATTTTGATGACAATATATAGCATTACCATAATCTGTGTTAACATGACCCACTTTTGCACTGTTATGATCATTTTTATTCGTAAATGAAAATAAAAAACTATCCCTTGTAGACTTCCATGCATTTGAACCCCATTGAAGTGGATTATAACCTCCCAATATATGTTCCGAATTTGGAATTTTTAATATAACAATAGTAGCTCCTTTATTATCACACTTAGTATGAAAGGCTGCAGCTGTGTTACCATCCCTACTAGCACGATAAAGTAAATTGAAATTATAAGGAATGTTTCTTGAAGCATCTTTCTTTTCAATCCAACTAGAAAAAATAGCAAAATGTTGTGGTCCAATTATAACAGAACCATATACATTTTTTGACTTTCTAGGGGGTTGTATATTAAGACTAGATTTCTTACTTGGTGCCATATGAAATGCAAGTACATTATCAAGTATATCTTCAGGTATTAATATTTTAAAAGGATATACTTTTAAAAAAAAATCTTCCGAATCTACATGGTAAAATCTAATTAAAGGAATAAATTTATGAAGAGTTCTTTCCATAATTGTAATTTCTTCTTTATTCCATTTCTTAACATCTCGTTGAATAGAAGGATGCTGAGCGTAACCCCATTTGATTAAGCTATCCCATATATCAATTTCGTCCAATGATAAATCATCTCTTTTTAAAAGTAATTCTAATAAAGGTGCTTTTAAATTTGTAAACTTATTAGATTTAAACAATGTATCTGGCTTAGCACAAATTTCTTCAAGATAATAGTTCCACAAATTTGTAAAAGTTTCACGTTGGTAGACAGTTTCAAGAATTTCTAAAGGATTTTGTTGTAAAAACTCATGTTGATGTTTAATCAAGTATTCTTGAATACAAAGAATTAATGTTTGAATTTTTAGTTCATCCACTGCTATCAAAAGTTTTAGGATATCTGGTCCCTGTAATTTCGACAAATCGATCTTCCCACAATAAATAAATCTAAATATTAAAAAAATATACATATTGAAGTTATCGTGGTAGTTTATATTAATACATATTATTTCAATACTTATTTTTCTCATTACCTTAAAATAATTTTATAAAATTGGGGAGAAATATTAGGAAAATTAAAAACATATTTTCCATCCTTCTTCTCAGACCGCTCCTTAGAGAATGCTGAACGAAAATATTGAGACCTAATGCGTAATAAAATTGAATGTGCATGAAATTCTTTTATATTGTTATTTTCACCAGAATAGATAATAACGTTATATTCTTCTTCTGCTTCAAATAATTTTTCCAAATCATTGTTTATTTCTTGAGAATATTCAAAGGCCATTTTTTTAAGAAAAAGAAATTTGTATTACACAATTATACGCACAAAGTTTGATCGACCTTATTTATTCTACAATGAAAATCACATGATAAATCTTGTGTGGAAATCACACCGATCACACGTGATTACATTTTCTTGTGATGTCACCAAGAAAATTACAAAATAGAATTTAATTATATATAGTAACATTAATAAAATTTTCCAAATCATATATTTTTATAATTTATATTATTTAAGGTTGAATGAATAAACATACAATACGTATAAAAATAAAACTTTTATTTAATACAAAAAATTTTAATATTAAATATAAATATGTTACAAATATTATCTTTTAATAACTTTAAAAACTTCATAGTCATCTGCATCAAACTTTCCGGGTATACCAATATTAGTATAAGAATTTGTTTGATCATTGTACCAGGTACCTTTATAAACATTCAAATTCCAACCAAAAGTTGGACCTTTGTCTGAATGACAACCTATAGATTTTGCGTCACCATGACTATAACATACTTTTGCACTACGAAGGTCATTTCTATCTGTAAATGAAAATATAAAACTATCATAATTAGACTTCCAACCCGAAGAATTATCCCAAGAAAGTGGATTATATCCTCCAACTATTTGTTTTGAATTTGCGATTTTTACTATAACTAAAGTAGCACCTTTATTATCACATTTTTTATGAAATGACTCAGTTGTATTACCATCCCTGCTGGCTCTATATAAAAGATTAAACTTATAAGGAATATATCCATAGAATTTATTTTTCCTATAAATCCAATTTGCAAAAACTGCAATGTGATTTTGATTAATTATTACAGAATCAATGCTACATCTAGGAGGTCGTCTATCATTATTAAATTGCTGATTTTGAGTCATATGAAATTTGACCATGTCATTAATTAAATCATTTGGTATTATTTCTTTAAATGGATATACTTTAATAGCAAAATTTTCCGGAGAAATATGACAAAACCTTATCAATGGAACAAATCTATGAATAGTTCTCTCCATATTTGTGATTTCGTCATTATTCCATTGTGTAGGATCTTGTGGAATTCTGTGTTGAGCCCGACACCATCCAATCAAATTATCCCAGATAACAATTTCGTCTAGCGGTAAATCGTCCCTGTTAAATAGTAACTCCAATAAAGATGCACTTAAACTGTTAAATTTACTAAGTAATATTTGAGGATCTTCACAAATTTTCTTGATGCAAATATTCTGTAAAACTATAAAAGCATTATTTTGATGAATCTTTTTAAGAATTTCAATAGAATTTTGTTGTACATAATTATTCTTATTTTCAATCAAATATTTCTGAATGGATTTAATTAAAGGTTGAATATTAAACCTTTCTACTGCTATCAAAAGTCTTAAAATATCAGACTCTTGTAATTCCTCCAGATTAGTCTTTCCACAATAAATAAATCTTTTAAAATTTTAGAAAAGAAAATTATTAGAATTTCTCAAAGATGGTTAAGATTATTCTCATAAATCTTAAATAATATAACTTATACGTTACCTTATAATCTTTATAAGTAATTGAGGGGAAATATTAGGTATGTTAAGAATAAATCTTCCATCCCTCCTCACAAGCGATTCATTAGAGAATTCTGTACGAAAATATTGTGACCTTGTACGTAATACAAATGAATGTGCATGAATTTCTCTACTTCCATCTTCACTAGCATAAATAATAACATCATAACCTTCTTCGGTTTCAAATAATCTTTCATAGTCATTAGCGACGTCTTGAGAATTTTCAAACATTTTTTTTTTTTAAATTTTTTATACCAAGTGAAAAAATGTAAAAAGTTGATCCTTTAAATTAATAAATCTTGTGTCACGTAAAAGATCACGATATTGTAAATCAATCGTAAATATGATGTCATTCTTTTGTAATCCATTTAGACTTTTAAAACATGAATAGCAAGCACGTATTGTTATTTTCGCCAATTTAAAATCATTTTAAAAGGGTTTAAGCCGGAAAGAGGATAAAATTTCAATGTAAACCATACTATGACTGCAGTACAATCCCAAGTCGTCATCAGGTGGTAAATATTCTATCTGTTACGTATGCATTCTTTCCCATTCTAAGAATATATTTGTTTAATAAATACTATACTATCAATTTTAGCATCATACTATACTCAGAAAGCCGATCCTACTATACTACTTTTCGTCTTACCGCTATATTTCGTCTTACCGCTATACAGTTGGTAATAATTCAATTTATATTGGAATAAACATTTTTTTTTGCTCATATAATTTAGATTATATAATTCATTTAAAGCAAATTATGATATAACTAAAAAAATTTGTCTGACGTTTGGATTAGTCTCCGTATAAATAATTTGAATTGTGTAACTTGACATATAATTAATTCCCGTGACATTCCTCCGCCGTATGCATTCCAATCAACTAATCCAATTTCAGTTAATATTAATTGCCTGTTTAAAGATAAAATATTTAACTGATTTGACACTTAACTGAGCAGTTAAAGGATTTGTGACTTTTTACGTCTTATTTTTGGATTTAATTTATCGATAACCTAAAGGCTAATAAAAAATTTTGACTATATTTCATGAATTGAAAAATTTTTTTATTTGCGAATTTTCAAGTACGACAATTTCTGCCAAGATTTATTCCTATCAACTAATTTTTACTAGTAAATTTTATTACCATGTGTAAGATTATCATTAACAATTTTAATTACAAATTTTTAAAATTAACTTTATTATATGAAATCTTACTATTCTAATTTTAAGGAAGATAATTTTAATGTTTTTGAAAAAATTCATCATTTGCGATCGAATATTAGGGTTATTGTGATTTTCATAAAAAAAATGTTCCGTTACTTGTTATGTGAATTGTTTTGCATACCCATCAATAACTAAGGATCATAATTCTATTTTTATTTGATATTAACTATCTTATAATTTTCTTTAATAACTATTTATTATAAATAAAAATAAATTTTTTAACATACAGTATAACGTGTGCATATTTACGTCGCTTCTTGTCATACTTTCATGAGATTAAAGATTATTCTTTCAACTTGTTTTAACAAATTCATATATAACGAATGGAATAATCTGTCGTGATAAGTAGTAAATACATTTAATAATTTGAATAAATTTATTAAAATCATTTAAATTACAAACTAAGAATTTTGAATTTTGTAAAACATTTACTACTCTAGTCTTAGTGTTTAAATAACCCAAAATAAATAAATTAGAAGATAAATAAATAAATAATAATTTAAAATATAAAAAAAAAATTTGTTAAATGATTCAAATTCCGTCTAAAGATAAAAAATAACAAATTATAAATTAATTATTTGTTTTAAAAAGAAATCTTATTTACTTAAGATCTTACCATCAGGAATTTCCAGTTCATCCTGTTCTTTCGAATGAAGATTTGGATTATTATATACTTCGTCATCATCTATAACTGAAAGAGATAAAAAATAAATAAAATTAAAAATTGTTTATTATTACGTAAAACTTTCACCTACCATCGACATGATGTTGAGTTATTACCATTTGAAATTTATTTGTAACTTTATAAATTCTTCGATCAAACTTCATATTGTGCCCACATAAATTTTGTGATCCTGTGGCGTAATATTTTACGCCTCATAACCAAATATTATCGTACTTTCTAATTCTATTTTTATTTTGTGTTTAACAAATTTGATTGTCATACTTAATGAATAGATAATATTCCTTAATTATATTGATTAATATTGGTAAAAATCAATGATTGTTAATCAATAGACTATTAATTTCAGTTGTAGTAATTTTTAAATCTTACTTAAAGATCAATATAAACATGATTGATGAATGGGACAATTTTCTTTAGTTATTTTAAATTAAATTTATTTTTTTTTTTAAGTACAAACTTGAAGGTTTTCATTAACCTTTTAATATTTACCATTGTATATGACGTATTTATACAGTATATACATATTAAAAGTAACTATAGTTCTCCATTCTGTAGGTACATCATTTGAAAATGGTAAGCAATACCTTTCACTAACACGCTTTCTAATGCCAACGAACAAGACTGATTTATCAAGATCATAATGTGGTTTCTTTAATTCAGCAATTTCCCACAATAATGCTCCAACACTGAAATGATAAATACGTGGATTAGTAAAATATTCTTAATAATGCTTTTTTGAAAAAAATTTTTACCTTTATTACCTGTAAATTTCACGTTTAGAATCGTAAGGAACTTTCTTTTTTTGAGAATCATTATTATTGTTTTCCTCATTTTCTATCGCTAATTTTTCTGGAGCCATATATCTTATATTTCTAAATTTTGCAAAATACTTTTTGAAATGTCAGAAAATTTTCTGCTTAAACCAAAATTTGCTATTTTAACTTTGTGATTTCCATCAACTGAAAGGGATTGTTGCAATCATTAAAGAAATTCAAAAGATATTTCTACACCCACCTTCAGATTTATTTAAAGAATGTTTTTGAGGCTTATGTTGAAAGAAGATCTACTAAAGGATACATTGATAATATTGGAAAGCATCGCTGGGATGCCAAGTTTTATTCGGAATTTATGCCCATTGTAAGTATTATTCCTTTTTACTTTGTTAACATTATTTAAGGTTGGTTTTAAATTTAAATAATATATTAGTGTCTTGAAAAAATGAGAAATCGTCGGGTTCACTTGCAAGAGATATAAGAACTGCACTTTTTAAAGTATTTAAAATTCCTGAAATCAAAACAAATTCAGGTGAAAAAGGAAAGGTAAGAAGCGTACACAAATTTATGGAGTGCAGATGAAAGTGGTCTAACCACAATTAATGAAATTATTATGAAAGCAATGCCAAAAGAGTCTAAAATGGACTGTTTAACCCCTCCTATAATTTCTTTTGTGCTTGCCGTCTGTTTGTATTGTTCTAAATCCAAACAGTAATGAAGTTGGTATATATTGTGTTTGTGATGAGATAAGCAAATGGCCGTTACATATTTACATTGATAATAGGTATTATTGAACGAGAAGAGAATTCCAAAAGAAATTGACATCTTGGAACTTCAAGAAGAATCCAAAGAAAAAACAAGCTATAATGAAGGTGTTGAAGAAACTTCTGAAGATAATGATGATGCAAGATTATTTGAATAACGATATTTTTTCAAATAATATGTGAATACTAAAATTCTTGTTATTGAAAAAATTCAGAAATTTTTATTATTGAATAAATACGAATATTCTTATTATCAATAAAATATATAAATTCTTATTAATGAATAAATACGAAAACATAGAAATTCTCATTGTTAAATAATCACAGAAATTCTTATTGTTACAAAAATACTCATTATTAAGTAATATTCGCCAAATTTACAGTTTCATTATATACCTGTGGGTGGTGTGATTCAACGTGTTTTTTTTATGTGTATAGTTTTGCAAATTTACACCCTATTTAAACTCATAATTTTATATATAAAAAGTAATGTTCGATAAATTTCCAATGTATAACTGAACTTTAATTCATTATTGTAAATTATGTCAATATGGTATATTGTACAATTATATTTACGTAGTTATTAAGAAATTGTAATATATAAGAATTATACAATATATTAATAAAATTTTCCATATTTTAAGGTTGAATGAATAAACATACAATACGTATAATTGTATAAATATAAAACTTTTATTTAATACAAAAAATTTTAATAAAAAATACAAATATGTTATCATTCACATGTTTTAATAACTTCAAAAACTTCATAGTCGTCTGCAGAAAACATACTGGGTATATCAATATTAAGATAAGAATTTGTTCGATCACTGTGCCCACCGTACCAAGTACCCCTATAAACATTCAAATTCCAACCAAAAGTTGGACCTTTATCTGAATGACAACCTATAGAATTTGCATCACCATGACTATAACATACTTTTGCACTACGAAGGTCATTTATATTTGTAAATGAAAATATAAAGCTATCATAAGTAGACTTCCAACCCGAAGAATTATCCCAAGGAAGTGGATTATATCCTCCAACTAATTGCGAAGAATTACCCCAAAAAAATGAACCTGCAGCTCTTCTGATTTTTACTACAGTTAAAGTAGCACCTCTATTATCACATTTATCATGAAATGACTCAGTTGTATTACCATCCCTGCTGGCTCTATATAAAAGATTAAACTTATAAGGAATGTACTCGGAATCTTTCTCTTTCCTATAAATCCAATTTGCGAAAATTTTAATGTGATTGTGATTTATTATAACGGAATCAAAATCACATTGTGGTTGTCTAGGAGGTCGACTATCACTATATAATCGTTGATCTTTAGTCAAGTGAAATTGAACTATATTATTAACTAAATTTTCTGGCATTATTTTTCTATATGGATATACTTTAGTGGCAAAATTTTCCGGAGAAATATAAAAAAATCTTATCAATGGAACAAATCTATGAATTGTTCTTTCCATATTTGTGATTTCATAATTATTCCAACGTGTAGGATCTTCTGGAATGCTAGAATGTTGAGCGCGACACCATCTAATCAAATTATCCCAGGTAACAATTTCATCTAGCGGTAAATCGTCCCTGTTAAATATTAACTTCAATAAAGATGCATTTAAACTGGTAAAATTATTTGAATTATAAATTTCCTTGATGCAAAAATTCTGTAAATTTTCAAAAGCATTATTTCGATAGACCTTTTCAAGAATTTCAATTGAATTTTGTTGAATATATTCATTTCTGTTTTTAATCAAATATTCCTGAATGTAGTTAATTAAAGGTTGAATATTGAACCTTCCTACTGCTATCAAAAGTCTTAAAATATCAGACCCTTGTAATTCCTCCAAATTAGTCCTTCCGCAATAAATAAATCTTTTAAAATTTTAGAAAAAAAAAATTATTAGAATTTCTCAAAGATGTTTAAGATTATTCTCATGAATCTTAATATAACTTATACGCTACCTTATAATCTTATTAAGTGATTGATGGGAAATATTAGGTATGTTAAAAATAAATCTTCCATCCCTCCTCACAAACGATCTATTAGAGAATTCTGTCTGAAAATATTGTGACCTTGCACGTAATACAAATGAATGTGCATGAATTTCTCCATTTCTATCTTCACCACCAGCATAAATAATAACATCATAATCTTCTTCAGTTTCAAATAATCTTTCATAGTAGTAGTCATTAGCGATGTCTTGAGAATTCATTTTTTTTTACGAATGAAGTGAAAAAAAATGTTGTATGACTTTACGGAATTTCGGTAAAATGTTGATCCTTTAAATTAATAAAACGTTGTGTCACGATATTGTAAAACATGAAGATCGAGCACGTGAAATTACCGAATAGTTATTTGAATAATAATGCTAAAATCAACCGCATCATTTTTTACTAAAGAAAAATCTTTTGAGAGGATCGAAACGAAATATAAAAATCATTTTAAAAGAGGCTAAGTCGAAAAAATGATAAAATTACAATGATTACTGCGTAATGAAAGCAGTACAATCCCCAGTTGTCATCAGGTGGTAAATATTCTATCTGTTACGTATGCATTCTTTCCCATTCTAAGAATGTATTTGTTTAATAAATTCTATACTATCAATTTTAGCATCATACTATACTACTATACTACTTTTCGTCTTACCGCTATATTTCGTCTTACCGCTATACAGTTGGTAATAATTCAATTTATATTGGAATAAACATTTTTTTTTGCTCATATAATTTAGATTATATAATTCATTTAAAGCAAATTATGTTTCTTTAAAACAAAAATAAGGGATATTTATTATAAATACGTAAAAAAATTAATATAATCAAATCGGCTCATTCGGCTGATTAGAAAAATCAAGCCAATTAATATTTAAGCTCAGTTGATGGGTTCATTATATACCGATGGGTTACTTATTGTCATTAGCATATAAAATTATGGGAGGCTTTTCTATGTGTACTTAAAAAAAAGTTCTTTCTATCATATAACGAATATTTAGCCTTTATGAAAAATCTCAAGTCTATAGTTGGTTTAAACTAATTTTAATACGTTTTCCTAATTAAATATTTTGAATTTGATTAAAACAATATTAACATAAAAAATAAAATAAAATAAACATTATCAAGCCAACTATGATTGTCTTGGGTTTCAAAATTTAATTCTTTATCGTTTCGCTTTTTTGAATTTTTAATTGTTGAATTTTATGATGATGAACTAAATTTACAAATTAATATCAATCAATTAGTACATGTGATAGTTTAGTAATCATTTAAAAAATATAATTTCAAAACCTTTTAATGTCTATATCAAACTCTTTTTCTTTAGTAACATAATTATAATTGCGATCTAAAGAAAATAACATGCATTTTAAAGATTACTGCATATAATATTTTTAATTACGGCCAATTTTTTTATAGTCAGTGATACCTTGTTTTATATTGTCAAATGAAATCGTTGAATATAAATTTGTGGATAATTTAGAAATTAAAGCACTTAACGGTCTACTTATATAAATTGCCTCCGAGTGACATTTTTCAGCAAATTCAGGGCCAATCTTCTTTGATTCTAACAGTTTCCTTCTTTTTTTCTCAGATTGTTTAAATTTTGCTATGCATTTATCTTCATGGGACCAATTTTTAAGAATTAAAGTAGTAAATATTATAAGAGGTCTTTTTTTCGGATCAGGATCCAACAACTTTATAATATTCTGGAGTATCTTCTGTAATTTTGGGACGTTCTCCATCAAGAATTTTATAAAATCAACATTAGCAAAAGGTTTATTTACAACTTGTTGTAAGTTTTCACATGATCATGCCAAGACTATAAATATAAGCTTCTTTAGAAACTGCAGATCCTTTAAATATTTCTGTGCAATATAAGGTATAACGCCATATATTTCATTATTTGATGATTTAGTTATAGAATGTGATAATCCTAGATTCCCAATTTTATATTGAACCATATTACATAAGTAATATATTTCCGCTATGAAAATCTCGATGTATGAATTTGCGATAATGAATATATTCAAATAAAAAAATAAGTTAATTACTAACTTTTATTATAATAGAACAAATACATAACGGATAATGATGATGCAATTAATTAATATTTGCTTACTTATTTAGTTAGTTAAGACGCATATGATTAACATTATTTAAGTATTTGGCGTAATTAATGAAAATGAAACCCAAATTAAGAAAGGAAACGAATAAATCATGAAGGAAATTATTACTTGAACAGGATAGAAATAAAATAAAATAATGCATGAATAATTGGGCATGCAAAATAGTGTTTCAGGCGAAACCTAAATTTAATATCTGGCAAACTTTCAGTTGCGAAACTAAATGTGCAAAATTCCGAAACTACCGAAACTACTAAGCGTGGCGAAATTTCCAAAACCTGGCTAAACTTAAAAAAAGTAACGTTAAATTTTTAATTGGCTATAAAATATAAATCGTATGGTTCCAAGATCTCCAGTAATTATTATTTTTTTTTTTTTTGAATAGTATATTGGCGTATATCAAATAATTGTAGTCAACAACTGGATTTTGGATGAAAATTACAGCTGATATCGAGTTTCTCGTAAAAATGATGGTGTCTCGTATATTATGAAACCGACTGTAAAAAACATGCATGTGATAACTCAAGTTTCGAGCACTTCGCCAGTTTAGGAATAGCCGAAACTGAAACTCAAAATGTGCAAAACGTTTCACCAATCGCAAAACAGTTTCGCCCGAAACATTACGTAGAATAAAACTCAAAATTTGCTAAAGTAACATATATAATTTAATGTTAAGAATATAGCATTCCATATTATGATCGTCAATATGGCAAAAAATATACGTAGTCCCAATTTTTTTTATATTATACCTTTATGTACTGTGAATAAGTTTAATATTTGTGATATTAAAGTAAATTGAATTAATAGAAACATATTCTAATATACTTATAATAGATATTTAAATTTATTTATTTCATTCATTTAATTTTAATCAGTCACAATTTGAATTTAATGGATAGATAAGCTTTTATGTTAATAAAGAAAGGATACTATTATTTAAACTTACAAGTTACAATTATTTTTTTAAACTTCAAATAAACTTTAAGAAAAATTCGCATTTATAATTAATAATTTTAATCAGGATTTATTAATTAAAAGGTCATGACATGTATTTTATATTCTACGTGTAAAAATTAATATGACGACAAAGTGTTATGAATGTATATATAGTTAATAGCGAAAATATCAGAAAAATCGGAAATCTTCATAATTCCTTGTCATGAATCAATTGAATCATGTATACCTAATAGTGTAACCATGTAATTTATTTATGTACTAATCTTTTCGAATATACTTCACAAGAGCACAAGAGATTCTTAATGATTATTTACGTTTGTGAAGATGAAGTTGAAATTCGTGCACATTCACTTGCTTATTTATATATTAGGTCTCAATACTTTTGTGCGACATTCTCTAATGAATGAGCGAATAAATAGATGGAAATTTATACCAATATATTTCTCCTCAAATATTAAAAGTATTTATGTTTGTTTATAAAATTAAAAGGTCCGGAAACTAATAACGGTAGATGAACTTAATGTTCAACCATTAATTCAATATATTCAGGTACATCTATATGAAGAAGTTTATGGAATTATTCCTTCTATTCTTCTATTCAGAAAAATGTTTAGAAATGGAATAAAGAAGAAATCATAATTATGAAAAGAACTATTTCCTGGAGATATGATTGATAATTTACTTGTATTTCATATGAATTCATATAAGAAATTAAATATTGATATACCTTTTAGATATCCAAAATATAATTCAATTATCATTAATAACTCTTTTATCAAGCTGGATTGAAAAGGCTCCTTATAATGAATGCGCAATATTCTTTATGATTTCTGTGCTAGCAGAGATGGTAATACACCTGCAGACTTTTGTGCTAAATGTGATATTAAAGGAGCTACTATATTATAATAAAAATTCCACATTCGGAACAAATATTAGGAGGACAATCCAACTATGTGGGATTCAAGCAATACATGAAAATCTACAAGAAATAGTTTTTTATTTTCATTTAGGGATAGAAATAACTTTCGAACCGCAAAAGTAGATCATATCAATGAAGATTATCATAATAGACTATATATTTTTGGACCAGGATTTGGATATGTTTGTTATTTATTTCAAGGTAATGATGTTGTCTGGAAAAGTTATGGTTCATACTCTTATCTTAATTTTGATGCACCATAAAATATTAAGTTTGGTGTTTGTGATACTTTATATTTAGAAGATTATGAAGTTTTCCAAATTATTAAAAAATATACAATTTAGTAATTAAAATTTTAAACAATTATAGGATATGGATATTAAATAATATTTATTATATTAATAAAAGAGATAATATTATCAATCCAGGAACTATTTTACAGTATATTGATTAAATATAGGGTATTGAATAAAGTTGTTAAAGTGGTAGCCCATAAATTATTAAATTCGTAGTTCTTTATTGAATTGATTGAAATTATATAATATAAGTTTAAACTTTAAAACAATACTATTAAAGTTGTATCAACAATTTTTACATTAAAGGAATTCATTATACCTCTATAAAAAATAAAAATATAATAAAAATAACTCTTCAGCGTCTTCCTGCCTTAAATGTGTTAACTAAAACCACGATGTTTTTCGTAAGTATTGTTAGAAGGAGGATCATGTTATCATTTTGCCGATAACTCGGCAAGATTCTCGGCAAAAACTTTGCCGAAATTTGCCGTAGTCTAATCTCATTATTCAAATTATATATGTAAATATTAACTGGATGATCATTTACAAACGTGATTTCATTGATCAAACAATTTGTTGATTGTACATCATTGAAAGATCGCTGTGGTGTAACTGATACAACATATATAAACATGCATTAATTGTGTAAATATCAATATTGCCACATATTCTTTAATCCGTGCGAAACAACGGTTACCAATATATATAAGTTAATTCAAACTTTGTTAAAAAATGCCTTTCGAATGCCCTCAAGATGTTGCCAATGATTATGAGAGTTTACTTACTAATACTAATATAGTAGAATATGATGTTATTATCTATGCTGGTAATAACAATAGAGAAATTTATGCGCACTCACTCGTATTACGCACTAGGTCTCAATATTTTCGTACAGAATTTTCTAATGGATCGTTTGATAGGAGGAATGGAAAATTTATTTTTAATTTACCTAATATTACCTCTCAATTATTTAATATGATTTTAAGGTATATTAAAAATTACTTGTACATGAATATCATACAATTTTAAAAAATGCTAATAATTTTCTTGTTAAAATTTCAGATTTATTTATTGCGGAAAGATTAATTTGGATCAATTAGATGAATCTGATGTTTTAAATCTTTTGATGGCAGCGGATGAGATTAATATTCAAAGATTAATCGACTATATCCAGGGATATCTGATTGAAAATAGAGGTTATTATTTACAACAAAATTTTATTGAAATTCTTGAGAAGATTTATCAAAATAATGCTTTTATAGATTTACAAAATATTTGTATCAGAAAAATTTGTGTAAATCCTGAAAGATTACTTAATTCAAATGATTTTACCAGTTTAAATGCATCTTTATTGGAGTTAATATTTAACAGAGACGATTTACCGCTCGATGAAATTGTTGTCTGGGATAATTTAATTAGGTGGTGTTTGGCTCAACATCCTAGCATTCCACAAGATCCTACACAATGGAATAATGACGAAATCACAAATATGGAGAGAACTATTCATAGATTTGTTCCATTGGTAAGATTTTGTCATATTTCTCCAGAAAATTTTGCTACTAGAGTATACCCATTTAGAGAAATAATGCCAAATAATTTAGTTAATAGTATGGTTCAATTTCACATGACTCAAAATCAGCAATTTAATAATGATAGACGACCTCCTAGGAAACTTGCAAATAATTCTGTCATAGTAGAGCTTCAACATTTTGCCATTTTCTCTAGTTGGATTGAAATGAACGATGCTTCTTATTATAATGAAAGAAATATTCCTTATAAATTTAATTTACTTTATCGTTCTAATAGGGATGGCAATACACCTGATGCCTTTCATGATAAGTGTGATAATAAAGGAGCTACTATTGTTATATTAAAAATTCCAAATTCGGAACAAATACTAGGAGGTTATAATCCGCTTCAATGGGATTCAAGTAATACAGAGAAGCATACAAGAGAGAGTTTTTTGTTTTCATTTAAAAATAGAAATAACCTTAACAGTGCAACAGTAGGTCGTAATAACGCAAATGATTCTTTTATACAATGTTATCAAATTTATGGGCCAGCATTTGGCAGTAGTGGTAGGTTTGACCTATTTCAAGATAGTGATGGAGATTGGAAAAGCTATCTTACACACCCTTATTCTAATATTAATATACCAAAAGGTTATGGATCATATTATAATATTTTTAATGTAGAGAATTATGAAGTTTTTCAGGTTGTTAGAATTTAAAGAATAGGCAATCATGTAGTTATAAACTTTCTAAAAAATTTTGGGAACGTTAAATTTGTTGATACCATTCATCACAAATTTTCAGGGTATTCAATATTGCACAAATAGTTAAATTTCTCGAAATTTATGCAATATAACTAACAATATTATATGTATAATTCTTTGTACAAATTTATATAAAAATTAACAAATTTTTTTACAATATATTGTATGGAAAATACATTATATATATTAAATAGGCAACTAATGTGCATTTTCAGGGTGTGCAAATCAGTTTTTTCATGCACAAAATATTGCATATTTTTTACATATAAAAAAATTTCCTGATGTTATTAAAATTTTATTTTGATTTGTACCTGTAAATTTATTAATTAATTCAATCGTAAATATGTTTATATTTTTATAATTGTTTGATAAAAAGAATATATACAGTAAGGAATTATAAGATACTTCGATGGTATAGAGTGGCGTCACAGATGTTTTTTCATTATTTAATGCTAACTTTTAAATTTTATTAAATAGGTTTAAATATTTTTGGAAATTGACCTATCTAAAGTATATAAAATTATAAGAATAATGTTGATTTACAAAATAATTTCTGTAGAATTTTAAGTAATAAAAATCACAGCATACTAAAAAGGTTATATAAAAATACTTCTATAAAGGGATAAATCAATAAACAAATATACAGGACGAGTTGGATGAATACAATCGTCAATAATGATTTTATAATATTCGACACGTTAAATTTTTAGATACTGACAAACATCCATAATTTGAACTGCATGCTTATATAAGAATGATCAATAAGTAAATGTTTAGAGAATACATCGCTTGCATTGCTTAATTTAATTTTACGAAAAATTAATTATTATAATTGCTATTATAATTTTGAAATTTTGTAACTTTAGGTAGTAAATCAAAGGGCATGTGTTTGACCCGGACTTGAAAATATCTCCTGAATTAAAATAGTAAAATCATTTATATTACTTTTTCATCACAATGAACGGAGGATTTTTTAGTAGTAGGCAAAATCGTATTTGTCACTCTAATATGTCACGCTACTGGTGATGGGCAAAACTCTTTTTTATTGAGTCGCAAAACTTTTAGGTTCAACTAAAGGTGTGATTCTCGTGCATTTTCATTTATATTTAATTATTAGATTAAAATTATATAATTTTATAAAGCATTTGATTGGTCTTGATTTTTTTTGGTTTAAGTAAAAATCAACAATAATTTCGATATGACAAAAGTACTGCACGTGGCAAAAATCTATGAAATTATCAATGATTTACTTGGAGTATATCTTTACTGAGTCCGGTTCGATGATCTTTCTGAGTCCAGTTATGTTAATTTTTAGCGTAGTCATGTGAATTGTGATGCAGATATTTAAACTTTAATTGGACTTTGCTACCATCGGACTGAGTTAACTTTTCTGAGTCCTGTGATTTTGATCGTTCGGACCGAACTAGGTTACTAAATTTATATGACCATCTACATTTTATTTTTTAATAATTAGTTGTAGATTTAAATAAATATTTTATACAATAAAATGCAAAAATTAAAAGTAACAATGTTTGAATCTTAATTTTATTGAAACAAGAGGGTCCTAGCAATTTATACGAATACATTTTACATTAGCTTATTGCAAAATCTGCTACAACCATTATCCCATTAAATATTTAATTTAGTAAAAATAATTTTTTTTAACTCTCATTATAAAGCGAATAGCAAAAAAAAAAAATCGTGTAGATCAAGCTTTATAATCGATCGGACCCAACCGATGATCGGACCCAAATTCACATAACCGTGTTAAAAATTGACATGACTGGACTCAGAAGGATCATCGGACCGGACACCGTAAGGCATAACCTATTTGAGGAATTACTTGTGAAGTTATAAATTATTCGAATCCTGATAAGCATGATCGACAAACAAGTTACTTAAAAACTCGTGATTTTATTTATTAAAGGATCAACATTTCATCAAAATTCGTAATTTCATATGATTGTACACCATGCAATGCTATAATGACTAAAAAATGTGGTGTAACTGACACAAATATATAAATGTTAATTTGTGTAAATACTAAGTATCCATATCATTCTTTATCCCGTACGAAACAATTTAGTTCAAACTTTTGTTAAAAAATGCCTTTCGAATGTCCTCAAGATGTTGCCAATGATTATGAGAGTTTACTTACTAATACTAATATAGTAGATTATGATGTTATTATTTATGCTGGTAATAAAAATAGAGAAATTTATGCACACTCATTTGTATTACGTACAAGGTCTCAATATTTTCGTACAGAATTCTCTAATGGATCGTTTGATAGTAGGAATGGAAAAATTATTTTTAATTTACCTAATATTACCCCTCAATTATTTAATATGATTTTAAGGTATAGTAAAAATTACTTGTACATGGATATCATACAATTTTAAAAAATGCTAATAATTTTCTTGTTAAAATTTCAGATTTATTTATTGCGGAAAGATTGATTTGGATCAATTAGCTGGATCTGATATTTTAAATCTTTTGATAGCAGTAAATGAGATTAATATTCAAAGATTAATCGACTATATTCAGGAATATATGATTAAAAATAAAGATAATTATGTACAACAAAATTCTATTGAAATTCTTGAAAAGATTCATCAAAATAATGCTTTTGTAGTTTTACAGAATATTTGCATCAAGAAAATTTGTGAAGATACTCAAATATTACTTAGTAAATTCAACAGTTTAAGTGCATCTTTATTGGAGTTAATATTAAACAGGGACGATTTACCGCTAGATGAAATTGTTATATGGGATAATTTAATTAGGTGGGCTCAACATGATCTTAATATTTCACAAGTTCCCGATCCCGCACAATGGAAAAATGATAAAAAAACAAATATGGAAAATATGGAGAGAACTATTCATAGATTTATTCCATTGATAAGATTTTGTCATATTTCTCCAGAAAATTTTACTAATAATGTATATCCATTTAGAGAAATAATGCCAAATAATTTAGTTAATAGTTTGGTTCAATTTAACATGACTAGAAATCAGCAATTCAATAATGATAGGCGACCTCCTAGAAGTAACATTGATTCTGTTATAATTGACCAAAATCACATTGCAGTTTTTGCAAATTGGATTTATAGGAAAGATAAATTCTATGGATACATTCCTTATAGGTTTAATCTTTTATATAGAGCCAGCAGGGATAGTAATACAGCTGCAGTATTTCATAATAAATGTGATAATAAAGGTGCTACTTTAGTTATAGTAAAAATCGCAAATTCAAATCAAATAGTTGGAGGATATAGTCCACTAAGTTGGGATATAAGTGGTGCAAGAAAGTTCACTAACGATAGCTTTGTATTTTCATTTGCAAATAGAGATGATCTTCAAAATGCAAGGGTGGGTTATTGTAACAGTGATAGTCATTCTATATATTGTTGTTCATTAAATGGCCCAGTATTTGGACGTGGTAGTGATCTAGGTTATTATAATGGTGTCTGGTATTGCCACGAAAACTTTTCTTATCCTGACGTAGGTATACCATTGAAAGTTTTTAATATGGATGATTATGAAGTTTTTCAAGTTGTTAGTAATTAAGTTGGCATAACAACTTTTTTAAATTATTCTTACATAAATCATAAATTTACTGAAGTCAGTTTGATAGTACATATTCATTGAGATTTTAGAGATCTTATTTATTAGAGCTTTTTTTTTCATAAAATATGTTTATGAATATTTTCTATATTACGATATATTATACCGTTCATTTATTATTTATTATACTACTAAGCATATTTAAAACGAATAAACATTACAATAACGTTTAACCCAATGTGTTTTTGTGTTTATGTAAAAGCCTCTTCATCTTATTAAACTAATCTAGTATTTGAGATAAATCAAAAACAATTTATATAAGTCATTGAACGTCATGTAATTAAAATTTATTTCCAAAAATAGTATAAGTGATTTGATCAAATCAATAAAATTAAGTTTTGAGAAATTATTAGGGAGAAAGTACGTTTAAATAAATCAAACTATTTGCAAATATAATCACTGGTTATTGAGTAAATTCACTTTAAAATTTTCCAAATAATTTTGCTCACCACTGTATTTGTAGCACCCATTTACGAATTAAATTCTAAAATTGCTTTACTTTCATTTGTTATTCTTGTAATATATCTGAATATTCTCAAATTCACACCAATGGTTATACATAAAAAAATATTCAACATATAATATTTGCTAATATTTGATTTTCTTATCCTAAAATTGGTATACCAGTAAAGTACTAAGTCTAATAAATTTGATTCTATAATATTTTTAATGCGGAAGATTATGATAAAACAAATAATTACAAAATTCCATATTGAGATACATTTAAAAAAAATTTCCTGCTTTTATTTAAAGATATTTTTATTTTAGATTTTAGTCTTCAATATTTCTTTCTCTTTTTCATCATAACAAACTATCTACAAACGAATCCCACACAAAAGTAATATCTTTTTAATACTTGGAAGAATAAATCTAATTACTGTATTTGAATGATAATTGCGGCAAAATTTATATAAAACTAAGCTTATGGTACTCTTAAATAAAATAGTACACCTTTATAAACGAAGAAAGTTAAAACAATACATTGATTGATATTCCGTAAATCGGGTAGATCTTTCCTTTTTTAGATGCTTTTAAATAATTTCAGTCAAAATTTTATTACCTATTTTAGTAACTGACTGACATTAGAATAATTTCGGCTCTGAAAAACATGCGAACAGTTAATAGTAAAATTTTCTTAGATCACTTGACCTCTACATGGGGCCTGCGTATATACTGCAAAATCTACGTATAAAGCAAAAAAAGATTAGCCGCATCACGTGATATAGGACTAAATTAAATATTTTTAAATAGACGACGGATTATGTATTTAAATAAATAAAATAAAAAAAAATGTCTTACTTGATAAAATATTCGGAATTTACATTTTTGTATAATTGATTATTAAATTTTCAGATAAACAATAAATTAGTGGCTTGTGATACTGTAGGTTGATCAAGCCTGTTTTAATACAAGATTTTTCCACTCCTGATATGGTGTAACCATATGATTTATTTATTTACCTTTTGCATAAAAAAAAATGGTTTCTTATTGTCTTTATTTTCTTTGTTAAAAATGTCTTACGAATATTCTCAAGAGCTTATGAATGATTATGAAAAATTACTTGAAATTGATAAAGGATATGATGTTATTATTTACGCTGGTGAAGATGAAGTTGAAATTCATGCGCACTCACTTATTTTATGTATTAGATCTCAATACTTTTATGCAGCATTCTCTAATAAATGGGCGAATAAAAAAGATGGAAAATTTGTACTTAATAAACCTAATATTTCCCCTCAAATATTAAATATTATTTTAAGGTAATAAAAAATTTAAATTATTTAAAATTTAAATATACAGTATATTATCAAATATATCAATAATTTCATTAATTATTTTAATATATATTTTAGATTTATTTATTGTGGTAAGATCGATTTGACGAAATTACAAGGACAAGAAATTCTAAACCTTTTGATAGCAGTAGATGAACTTAATGTTCAAACATTAATTCAATCTATTCAAGATTATTTAATTAATTACCAATATGACTTTTTACAACAAAATTCTATAGAAATTGTTTTAACTGCTTATCAATATGAGAATTTCACAGATTTATGGAATTATTGTCTTTATAAAATTTGTGAAAAACCAGATGTATTATTTAATTCTGATAAATTTATCAATTTAAAAGTACCTTTATTAGAATCACTTTTAGAACGGGATTATTTCTTTTCCGATGAAGTTGTTATTTGGGATAACTTGATTAAATGGAGTTTTTCTCAACATCCTTCTATTCAAAAAGATATTAAGAAATTGAATAAAGAAGAAATCATGATTATGGAAAGAACTCTTCACAGATTTATTCCTTTGATTAGATTTTATAATATAACTTCGGAAGATTTTTTTTTTAAAGTATATCCTTTTAAAGCATTAGTATCTGAAGATATGATTGATAATTTACTTGCATTTCATATGAATTCAAATAAGAAATTAGATATTGATACACGACCTCTTAGATATCCAAAATATAATTCAATTATCATTAATAGTATTCATTTTACTATTTTATCTAGTTGGATTGAAAAGAAAAATGAACCTCCTTATAATGAATGTAATATTCCTTATAATTTTAATTTACTTTATCGTGCTAGTAGGGATGGTAATACAGCTGCAGCATTTCATACTAAATGTGATAATAAAGGTGCTACTATAGTTGTAGTAAAAGTTCAAAATTCGGAACAAATATTGGGAGGTTATAATCCACTTCAATGGGATTCAAGTAATAAATGGAAGCAAACAAAAGATAGTTTTTTATTTTCATTTAAAAATAGAAATGATCTTAATAGTGGAAAAGTGGGTCATGTTAACGCAGATTATGATTATGCTTTATATTGTTGTCAAAATTATGGACCAGCATTTGGCAGTGGTCATGACTTATTTCAAGATAATGATGGTAACTGGAAAAGTTATAATTCATGTTCTTATCCTAAAATTGATATGCCAAAAAGTTTTAAAATTGGTGGATTAAATTATGATGTTTTTAATGTAGAAGATTATGAGGTTTTTCAAGTTATTTAAAGATAACTATCAATTTAATAACTAAAATATCTAAATTATGTTTAAATTCGTTTATTGATTTGTTTAAATAAATATAGTATCTGAATAAATAAGAATCAATTTTAACTTTCAAGAACTTTTTTGTAACAATCTAACAATACTGTATGTTTTGAAAAACGTCAATAAATTTCTCAATGGAATTAACGTTGCATTGTGTCATTATAAATTCTAAAATTATAAGATAGAAGTCTTGACTGATGTCGGTCACGATCATGATGAGTCATGACCGGTCAACCCTAATTGCAGCTATTCTTTCCGTAGTGTCTTAATGTTTCAAAAAATTAACATAATCACATCATACTCTGATATTTTTATTCGATAAAATTAAAATAATAAAGTATAATGGAGTAATCATTTACACAAAGAAGGATTCTATGAGAAAAGATAAAAATGATGTTTATTGTACATTCTATTTATCATTTAAAATTTTTTGATGGATAAACAGTATAGAGCAAGTGGAGTTCACAAAATATCATTTGTAAGTTAAATTTGATTGTATTATTTATAAACTGTTTATACGGATATTGAAAAATCCTTAATAATATTAATAAGCATAACTAAAAGTGATTTTTATAACTACTTAGTAATGAGTGCGAATGAAGTATATTTTACATAAATTTCTGATCAATTGTTTTAATAAAATCCAAATTGTTAAATTGCTACAAAAGGTTAGAACCGGTTAATCATGAGGTTAAGTTTCAAAAAATGCATTTGCGCAACTCGAAATACAAATCATTATCTTACTCCTTTTTTATGGCTGTATTTTTTAGCAGTATAATATTTCTTTTCCACTAGAGATCGAACAAGTCACATGATGTAGTACGCAGAAATCCTATGATTATGGCTGAGTTTATTACAATATATATGAAATATTTCTTATAAATATATTTTAGTTTTATTAGTTACTTAATTAATTAACCACTTTTAGTATTATTAATACTTTTGACTCATAAGTATTCAATTATAAGTATCAGTTTAATATTTATAACCTTAGGAAATTGCTTTATTAGTTTAGCTAGAGAAGTTTCTTGAAATTTACATAGTTGATGAATCATATAGACACATGGAACTTATACGAAATAGCAATAGAAAGGTTTCTGCAGATAATTGCAATAGAAAAGGGATAACCATATTAGTATAATAGGATAAATTTAATGAGTTCAAACTGTCATGTGTGAAAATGTAAACATACAGTTCACCCTCGCTATAGTGAATTTTTATATAGTGAATAATTTGCTATAGTAAAGAAAAGCTCAGGTACGGATTTTCTATATAAATAATAATTCTTAATACAGTCCACCTTCGCTATAGTGAATCCCTTACTATAGTGAATCTTAACTTTCAGCCCATGAGCTTCACTATAGCGAGGGTGAACTGTATATAGGGCTTTTGAATAAAAGCTGTTAACACCTGAGTAGATCTAACAGAGAGTTTAGATTGTGTTATCCAAAGTATTGTGTTTTTGTATGATTTGTTTGTTAGATTTTTTTTTTGTAGTAAACTTTTCGCGTATTTTACTTGTTTTACTTTTGTATTTGTCATTGTTTGTTTGATAGATTTTTATCTTTAAGAAACTCTTACATTGTTTACCATCATTATTAATTTTCTACTGAGAATTATTAGTGATACTCTTATATCATTTAAATAATGCTTCAGCTAGCCAAACTTTTAGTAAAACATATAAGATTCAAGATAATTTTAAGATTTTATATTACATTATTTCATTTTGACATAACAATCTTAAAAGGTTTAGTTAAAACATATCATTTTATTACATGATAAGAAATATTTGTAATTTAAATAATTTATTTATCTACATTTGTTATTAATTCATATATAACAACTAAATACACTAGTCTTAGCGTTTAAATAATTCTAAAATTGTAAATAATCGATACAATCACATGATAATAATAATAATCGGGAATAATTTAAAACCCGTCTAAAATAATTAAAAATTAGTATTATAAAATGAAATTAATTTATAACAAATTAAATTTAATTACCATCAGGGATTTCAAGTTCATCTTGATCTTCTGAATGAAAATTTGGATTATTAAAAATATCTTCTTCGTCATCTATAAAAATAGTAAGGATATTTAGAAAAATTATTATTAATACAAAATTTATAAATTTTACGTACCATCAACATGTTGATTCTTTACTTTCTGTTTTACAATTTCTTTTTTGTAATTATCTTGTTTATCTAAAAAAATTTACATATAATTAATATTGAAAAATAATATACATATATTAATTACTTACTATCCCCTGATCCTAGACGCAATTTTTCAAATATTCTAGATAATGTTTTGCTATTTTCTATATTATAAAACAAAAAATCAATGTATGATATATTTTGGCGAATTTTAAAAATATTATCTGATATTTAACAATTCACCTTTAAAAATATTAATTGTATTCTGATTTGATTTATTGAAATCATCAACTAGAAAAGAGAATTTTGATTATAAATATAATTATATAATGTTATTATAAATTAAAAAATACTCACTATCCTCAGGAATATTAAAACTATATGGTTTGCTATGGTATGCTTTTAAAAATAAAATGATGTCATTAAAAAAAGGATTTTTAATGAAAAAAGAATCAAATTATTCAAATATATACTAACCTTCTTGCTCTTCTATTATATTTTAATAAAAAATAATGATTAAAAATTAATCTTTATTATAATAAAATCAAGAAGAAAATTAATCATACCTTCAGTTGCATTTCTTGGCTCAGGTAAATTTTCAAATTGATAAATTTTACTTATAGATAAGCTACTACTTGCATAAATACTCATTATATCCAAACTGCTTATTTTATCTAAATTATTTGTTTTAAAGCTATACAAGAATTTCCAAATTATATTCATATCATTATTTGGTACAGTATCTTGGTGATACAATTTATTAATTTCTCTTATTTTATCTCTAATTGTAACAATATCAGGTCTTTTTGTTGGATCAGCATCCCAACATTGTTGCATTAATCCTTTATATTTTAAAGGAGTACCTGATACAACCTTTGGTCTTATACCATTAACAGTATTCATTGCAAGATTATAATTATTTTCATAATTAGCAAAAGGTGGTTGTCCAGAAGAAACTTCCCACATTAGCATTGCAATACTATATATGTCAGATGCTTTAGTATATCCTTTTCCAAAAGTAACTTCTGGTGCTATGTAAGGAAGATTTCCATATATACTTTTTAATGGTTTGTCAACAGGTCCACAAAATCCAAGATCACTAATAAACCAATAATTAGTATATTGATTATATAAAATATTTCCAGAATGTAAATCTCTATGAATTGCATTTTCATAGTGAATTGTCTCAAGTGCATTAATTATGTCAACAATAATTTTAATCCTTTCTTTCCATGTGAGTTTATTATGATTTTCTTGTAAATATTCCCTTAAATTTGAATCTAATTTTTTCATTACAAGTATATAATTTCCATTTGATGGATCTTGAGTTAGACCATAACAACGTACTATACCAATATATTTGTTACTTATAATTAGGTGGGATTTGGCCTACAAAAGATTTTATAGTATTATAATTTAGATATTTTTGATTTAAAAATATTTCTTCAATTACATACCTCATCAAACCAGCTTCTATTAGCACTTTCCAGATTTTTTAATTTTTTAAGAATGACTTTACCAGTTCCATATCTTTTTAATTGTTTTTCTATAGAATCCCATTCATAATATTCTCCACCAATCCAATCTGCTGTATAAATTTTGGAACATCCACCTTCAGTCATATATTTTATATTTTGTAAATTATTATATGGAATCCATTCAATTACAAATTTAGGAGAAAGTGATTCTATTTGACATTTTTGTATTAAATCATCAATATCATTATTTTCAGATTTCCAATTTGAAAATTTTGCTTTTAAATAATCTCTAATACAATATTCACAATATAATGTTGCTAAACATTCTTTTTGACAATTTTCACAAGTTCTTCTTTTCCCATTATTAAAAAGAATTTTATTATAATCATAATTTTCATTTAAAATTTTTATTACTTTTGACTTTTCATCTTTTGTAAGAGATATATCAGTAAGGATAGTTTGTATTCTAAATTCGTGTCGTTTATCTATATTATCATGAATATTATAATCTATTAATGCATATGCTCTATTACATGCAGCAAAAACAAAATCATCTCGAATGGTTGACATAATAACGAAAATTTAATTTTAAAAATTGTTAAGAAGACACCGTTTTTTAACTCCGGAGTTTGTTTCACAAAATACAAATAATCCTTAATTTGGTAATTTGGTTACACTTTCATAGTGGCTGAAATTGTAATACTAAAAAAATTTGTCTGACGTGAATAGTTGCCTACGCCTGATCTATTTATGGTCATTCTGATCGACCAATCCAATTCATGGAATTTTAATCAGAATTTTTTTAAATATTTTTTTTTCATTCTATTTTTTTTTTTTTTTTTTTAAAAAAAAAAAAAAAATTATTTACTTTTTCTTTTTTTGGTTTGATTTTTTTTACAAACCGAAATTTTTTTTATCTTTTTTCTTTTTCGGTAAATTTTTTTTTTTATTCTTCACTATTTAGGTAATCAGATTGATGCTGCGGGACGGTAGGCGCCTTTTTTTCATTTTTTTATTTATTTTTTTTACCCATATTTTTTTCAGATCGATGCTGTGCGTGGGTTATGATAAGTGCCTTTTTTCCGTTTCTTTTTTTCTTATTTACCAACTCTGTTTTTTAGGTTTGTATCGGGATCATCGCTGAAATAAATATATATTTTTGTTTGGATAAATACGTTTTATTAATTTTTTAATTATAATAAATATAAACTGTATCCCAAATATGGTATTACTAAATCTCAAAATGACGAAATCTTTATTTGAATGTTCTTTTTTATTATTAAAAAAAAATTTATATGATATATTAATGTTACCGCCGTTCTTCTTTATTGTAAAAATAAAAATACAATTTTTTTATAAATATAATGTGTAAATATTGTTAATGCTAAAATCCACGTGACAGCTGTATGTTACTTTACCAAGAACTACTACATATCAGTGTATCAAGGTACTCATAATATGTAAAGAAATCTTTCAAATATTAACCAATTTTTATCCACTCATCTACATTATAATCCAAATTATAAATAAATAATAACCCATGTAATATCTGATATACCCAAATATAGATTAGAAATTTTGTTATCATGTTGATTTAACTCATTAATCCTGTTGTTTTTACATTTTAGTCATCTCTATCTATTGTTACCGAATGTAGCCGTAATTCTGAATTTTCGTAATACATATCGTATGATGAACATCTTTAGAAAATTTAGAGAAAAAAAAACTACAAAAAAAAACTGGAATAAAAACATTTCTAGCATATTTCAATATACAATGCTCATTCGTTTGCAGATAAATAAGTACTTTATTGTCAGAATAAAAATTGGAAACGGTTGTAAATTATAAATTTACAAAATTTTTTTTTTAAAAAAAAAATACTTTTTAAAATATTAAATTAACCATTTTTTATAATCAAATTCACTGGTTTTACTAACTCTCAACGATTTTCTATTCCTAATATAGGAAACATTTATAATTTTTTTTATCTATTATTATCTAATTAGTCAGTTCGTTAAAGTGAACATGAGAACATGATATTTAAAATTGTAAGAAAGAATCCATTTAATAAATTTTGTAATATTATAATCGTATTATATTCCCGTTATTATAAAGTTATATAAAAAGGTCTTTGTAGAAATATATTATATTAGCTAAATTTATTTTTATTGGTAAATTTATGTCACATTCTCTATTATACGTAACATTAACGAATATAGACATAATGTTATTTGAGTTTAATAATTTGTATTTAATCCAACTTGTTTTAATACGACCATGCACTGCAAATTTTAGAATTTAGAATAATATGAGAGAAAGGAATGATTAATAATAAAAAATACAGTAATAACGCCAATAATTAATTATATTTCTTACGTTACAGTACTATTGAATATTATAGACCAAATAAATTTTACTGGCAATTAAAAATGTAATTTTGAATATAAAAATTTTATTGTATATTATTATGGTATGTTTATAAAATCTTGGATATAATTATTCAGTCACTTAACAAAATAAAACCGTCTATCTTGTAGATAAATAAAGAAATATTTTGTGCTTAAGATGTTGATTTTATGATTAGTAAATATTTATCATTGATAACTTATGATTTTTACAATTTGAGAATTTAAAACTAGTGCTTACATTTATTACACGTATACTATTGGAGCAAATGTTGTTACGGTATTATCCTCCAACGCAGCAGTCGAAACTGAAATCTGTTAATAATTCTTTTTTTTTAAAAAAAAAAGAAAAAAAAAATTTTAAAATATGAAATTTCTATCGATATTTAATTGGCACGACTTCATTTTTATTGAATCTCAATTTATAATTCATATAAACCTATTCTAATTTAAAATTTACTGTTTTAAACATAATATTTGTGCGTAACAACAACTCTTCAATATAAATAATAGATGTATCACAAAAATCACACCATGTGATTTAACCGACATTACGTAAATGAATTTGCATTTATCATGTGATGTATGATTTACAAGAATAAAAAAGGTAAACTTTGCGTAATTGTGTAATACAATTTTTTTTTTCTTTTCTAAAAAAAAAAGTTTTTTATTGTGGAAATAAAACATGTCTTTCGAATATTCTCAAGAAATTATTAATGATTTGGAAAAATTACTTGAAGTTGATGAAGAATATAACGTCATTATTTATGCTGGTGAAAATAAGAATATAAAAGAAATACATGCGCTTTCAAATATTTTGCGCATTAGGTCTCAATATTTTCGTACAGCACTCTCTAAGGAATCTGTCAAGAAAAAGGATGGAAAATATATTTTTAATTTTCCTAATATTTCTCCTCAATTTTTTGAAATTATTTTAAGGTAATAAAAAATTAAATATAGAAATATATTGATAATTATAGTATACTTATTTTTTTTTTTTTAATACTTAGATTTATTTATTGTGGAAAGGTCGATTTTACAAAATTACAGGGACCAGATCATATTCTAAAACTTTTGGTGGCTGTGGATGAACTTAAAATTCAAACGTTAATTATTTGTATTCAAGAATATTTGATTAAACATCATCATGAGTTTTTACAAAAAAATCCTGTAGAAATTCTTGAAACAGTCTATCAACGTGAAACTTTTACAGATTTATGGAATTATTATGTTGAAAAAATTTGTGACAAACCAGATGTGCTATTTAAATCTGATAAATTTATCAATTTAAAAGCACCTTTATTAGAATTACTTTTAAAACGAGATGATTTATCATTAGATGAAATTGATATATGGGATAGTTTGATCAAATGGTGTTTTTCTCAGAATCCTTCTATTCAAAAAGATGTTAAAAAATGGAATAAAGAAGAAATTACAATTATGGAAAGAACTATTCACAGATTTATTCCTTTAATTAGATTTTATCAATTAACTTCAGAAGATTTTCTTTTAAAAATATATCCTTATAAATTTCTACTACCTGATGATTTGATTGATAATGTACTTACATTTCATATGGCACCAAGTAAAAAATTAAATATTAATATAGAATCTCCTAGAAAACCAAAACATGTATATGATTCTGTTATAGTAGAGTCTCAACATTTTGCCATTTTCTCTAGTTGGATTGAAAAGAAAAATGACTCTTATTATACTGAATCAAATATTCCTTATAAATTTAACTTACTCTATCGTGCTAATAGAGATGGTAATACACCTGCTACCTTTCATGCTAAATGTGATAATAAAGGAGCCACCATAGTTATAGTAAAAATTCAAAATTCGGAACAAATATTAGGTGGATATAATCCACTCCTATGGGATCAAAGTAATTCATATAAGAACACAACTGATAGTTATATGTTTTCGTTTACAAATAGAAATGATTTAAAAACAGCAAAAGTAGGTTATATTATTAGTGCGCATTATAATTATGCTATATATTGTAATCAAAATCATGGACCAGTATTTGGCGGTGGTTATGACTTATTACAAGATAATAATGGTGACTGGAAAAGCAATAATTCATACTCTTATCCTAAAATTGATATACCACAAGGTTATAGTGTATCAGGTTATAATATTTTTTATGTAGAGAATTATGAAGTTTTTCAGGTTACTAAAAAATAATGAATTTTTATTAAAAAGTCTTTGACACATTGAATCTGTGATGTCACCATCCTATTTATAAAGAAAATTCATTTTGATTTGTTCAAATGACAGTTTTTTAATAAATAAGGATAATTGTAACAAACTGATGAAAAACTAATATAAATAAATGTACCTCTAAATTATCAACTGAATTGTATCCTGTAAATCCTTTAATTCATTTATTGTATAAAATTTTCAAGAGTAACCTAGCTAAGAGTGAAGATTTTTAAATGTCTGCTTTTATAACTTTGATACCAATGAATATAATTAAAATTAATGTATGCAAAATTCTTAGAAATGATATTATAGTTTTGAAAGTTTATTGGAATATCATAGTTTTTGTATAACAATACAATTTTTGTATAACAAATGTATTGTATTCAGTAAGTAAACAAAAATGATGAAAATTTACTAATGTTTTTTCCCATTTTTTTGTAAGAATCAGCCCGAACTTTTGGACATTGGTGAGTATTAAGGCGCATTATTTTGTATGGATTACCTTTAACTTCAGGTTTATTAACCTGTACAATCTATAAAGAATTAGTAAAGAATCGGGTTTGTTATTCTTCACTGATATATTTCCATTTGACTAGTGATTGTTTCCATCAAGTTTCAGTGCATTTTCTGAGTCTTCTGCACCTTTAGAACTTTTTGCTTGTCTTTGATCTTAGGAACAGATTTATCTAGGGCTGCGAATTCTCACTTTGTGAACGTGCTGATTCTAAGTCATGTTTCTGCGAATTTAAGTTAGTAAATACTTTGACAACTGACAATGAACTTTTAATAATTTACTATTCTGTAAACACCTAATTTAGATGGAAGCCTTCTGTATTATCTGGAGCATATGTAGCTTTTTCTCAATGGTCCCAAAAAGCTCTTGATACAACTTTCCACTTATTTAAAAAGGATTATAAACATTTTTACAAATAATGCAAGTATTTGAAGATAATGATAAAACTTACAAATGACCATCCAGAATATTATCAAAACATGAAAATATATGATGCGGCTTTATAATTATGTCACTATCCTCTTTGAATTTTGTCTCTATAAGGTCCCTTTCAAAATCATTTCACATCTAGCTACGTGAAGTAAAAGCATAATGTTAAGTTGCATGAGATAAATTATGAACTATTAAATAAATGAACTTATATATATTTGATCAAGTCAAAAATATATGCAAAATTCAGGTCTAAGTAATCCTTAAGAGCAAGTGGTACGATCTCATCATGAAAATTTTTATCATCTTCAAAATCATCCTTTCCATCAAAAAGATTATCAGTTTCTGCAGCCTTAGTGTTTTCAACATTTTATTGAGTTTATGTATAGCTCTATACGTTCCCTTCAGTCTTACGATTTCTCTAATAATACGAAGTTGATTGCTATTGAGCTAGAAATCAAAGTATATATCATAAAAATTTCCGGAAAATTGCAATATTCCGGACACTTTCTGGACACCAGGTCTGAGCCCTCCTAGACATTTTCTGAATATTTCCAGAAATTCAAAATGTCTCGGCGTCCGGAATATTGCAATTTTCCAGACATTTTGGATGACAATTTCCGGACATTATTTTTTTTATAGGGCTGAAAAGCCGATCAAAGTTAAACCTTGTTTGGCCATTTTTATTTGTGATCAGGTTTGTGCAGTAAAGTTTGTATGAATAAAATTTGATCTAGTATAGTTATTTCAAATCGGCAGATTTTTTGAAAATAACAGTTATTTTGCACAAAAGAATTAGGGAAAACAAGATTCTTTTATAGTACCTTAAAGAAATGCTCCAGAACTTTGGATCTTTGTATATGAAAAAACAAGTTATTATGTACGAATATGACAAATTAATCAACGGCAACGAAATTATTCATAATCATCTTCGTAAAAAAAAAATCTGATTGTTGAGATCTAAGTATAATCATTCCCATTTTTTGTACTATTACCCAAATGGATATGCTTTTTGACTTTACATCATGATCATGTCACTTTATTACATAAACGATCTTTTTTGGAAAAAATACATGAAGGAGATAATCGATTTAAAATATTTTTAAAATAATCAATAGTAAAATTTTTTATGGTGCCACATTTAATGCTAACTCTTAATGTATCAAACATAAATATACTAATATTGGATATTTATATTCTCCGTTTGTTAAAATAAATATAAACTTCTATTCTTTTAAAAACATCAAATCAATGAATAAAATCAAAATATTTTATTTATTAACAACTTGAAAAACTTCATAATCCTCTACATTAAAAGCATTATAACCACCCACCTCATTACCTAGTGGAATATTAATTTTATAATAAGAGCATGAATTAAAGCTTTTCCAGTTACCATCATTATCTTGATATAAATCATATCCCTCACCGAATGCTGGTCCATAATTTTGATGACAATGTATAGCACAATCATAATCTGTTTTTTTAATATACCCTACTTCTGCAGTTCGAAAATTATTTCTATTTGTAAATGAGAATATAAAACTATCTGATGTATACTTCCATTGACAATTTGAATTCCAATTAATTGGATTATATCCTCCCAAAATTTGTTCCAAATTTGGAATTTTTAATATAACTATAGTAGTTCCTTTATTATCACATTTAGCATGAAAGTCTGCAGGTGTTTTGCCATCTCTACTAGCACGAAAAAGCAATTTGAAATCATAAGGATTATTGCTTTCATTATAAAAAAAATTATCTTTCTTTTTAATCCAACTAGAAAAGTGAGCAAAATGTTTGCTGTTAATGATAATCGAATCATATTTGGGACTTCTAGGAGGTTGTTGTATTTTAATATTTAATTCCTTATTTGAATTCGTATGAAATGTAAGTAAATTATTAATTATATCTTCAGGTAGTAATGCATTAAAAGGATATACCTTTGAAAGAAAATCCTCTGAAGACATATGATAAAATCTAATTAAAGGAATAAAATTATGAAGAGTTCTTTCCATAATTGTGATTTCTTCTTTATTCCATTTCTTAACATCTTTCTGAATAGAAGGATGCTGATCGAAACTCCATTTAATCAAGTTATCCCATATAACAATTTCATCCAATAATAAATCATCCCGTTTTAATATTAATTCTAATAAAGATTTTTTTAAATTGATAAATTTGTCAGATCTTAATAATACAGCTGGGTTTTCACAAATTTTATCAAGACAATAATTCCATAAACTTGTGAAAGCTTCAAATTGATAAGCAGTTTCAAGAATTTCCATAGAATTTTGTTGTAAAAAGTCGTAGTGGTAGTTAATTAAATAATCCTGAATACATTGAATTAATATTTGAACATTAAGTTCATCTACTGCTATCAAAAGGTTTAAAATTTCTGAACCTTGTAATTCTGTTAAATTGATCCTTCCACAATAAATAAACCTAAATATTAAATATTAAATATTATAATAATGATTATTGAAAATTATTGTTACATTAAATTTTATATAAATATATTTATTTTTTTTTATATTACCTTAAAATAATTGTTAATATTTGAGGAGAAATGTTAGGTTTATTAAGTATAAATTTTCCATCTTTTTTATTTGCCCATTCATTAGAGAATGCCGCTCGAAAGTATTGAGACCTAATACATAAAATAAGTGAATGTGCATATATTTCAACTTCATCTTCACCAGCGTAAATAATAACATCATATCCTTTATCAATTTCAAGTAATTTTTCATAATCATTCATAAGTTCTTGAGAATAATCGAAGGCCATTTTTCTTTATTTAAATGACGATGAAACACAAAAAAAAAATATTATTTTTTTTGCGTAAAATGGGTAACATAAATCAACCATATGGTTACACCATATTTGTTGTACTAAACACGTTTGTTCAATCTATCACAAATTACCAAATTAATTAAATTAATTCGACGTCCCAGATTAGTAATTAGGCGCACTAACAAGTCAAGTTTCGTTATAAAATATTTAATTCAGAAACAGGCGAATAATTTGTACTATATTAAATTAAAATTGTTTTTTTTGTAAATTTGAATTCTTAGTGCGCTTAAGATATTTAAGATAAAAATTATTTTTAATACTTTCACATTAAAAAAGCGCCAAATACTATATTAGAATAAGAATTTCCGATATATTTTTAATTTTGGTATAAGAAAACTAATAATTTTGATGATAATAATTAGAAATTTCGTTGTTAATATGACTATTATTTTTGTAGTTTGAGGATATAATAGTATGCTTATATCGAATTTATAGCTTTTGCTATATTAACCCTTTTATTATTACAATTTCTATGTTATTTCCTTCGGCTGTATAGTAAATAAATAAAATAAAAAAAAAATATTTGATTTATCATAATTTAATTTACTTATTCATATTATTGTTTAAAGTATAAATATATGAGAAATAAAATGTTAAAGAATATCTAATTAAAACTTATATTATTTTTTAAAATGATTTGATAATGAAATATCATAAAATTCAATTGGAGGAAATAAAATTTTTATTATTGATGTAATTCCCTCTTTGTTCCACATATTAAATCTTAATGGATAGAAGAACGTCCAATGTTGATGATATCATTATATAAGATAAGTAAATCAATTAGAGTTTGATGAAATGTTACTTAAAAGCAATTAATTAAAGTAACGATTGAATAAATTTTAAGATTTCGCAAATTGTTTCAAGAACGGTAAATTTGCAATGTATCATATTAATAAATTTAATATAAATTGCTTCTAGTAACTTATATTGATGACTAATTATATAATAAGAGATTACTAGTGCTTGGACACTAAATTCATTGCTATCATCGTAGTTTTAGGCCTTATAATTTAAATTTTTTGCAATAGACGAATCTAAAAATGGAAAAGAATGAATATGGCAGATATAATTCATCTTCAAAATATAATGTTTTTAATTTTATTTTTGAATTTGAAAAGAAATGTAGAATAAAACTTCGTAAATTTTGGAATATTTCAGGAGAACAAAGGATAAAGTTCTTTTTTAATTTAATGCGTAGTTTAAACGAGTGATTTGTACTACTCAAATAGTATAAGTTATAACATTATTTTATCATAGACGAAATCAAAAAAATCTTTTCACGATAAAAAAATATTATCACAGATACTGCATTCAATTTTACAAAATCAATGTAAGAGTATTTTTTACTACCTGTCAAAAATGTAATTTCTGTATTTCTGCTACATCAATTTCGAATTAAAAAAAAATAAATGGTAATACTGTTTTAGTCGTTTTACAATAATAACAATAATAAATATATTATAACGTGTCATGAATATACAAAGAAAGAGTTCAACAATTATTAATAATGAATAAATAAAAATTTCGTAATAAATATTCCATTCGTAATAACAAATTAAACATTTCTTCTGACAATAGAAATTCCGTCACTTAATACCTAGTGTACAAACAATATAGATACGCTAATTTGATTATTTCTTAACAACTTGAAAAACTTCATAATCATCCGTTTCAAATTTGCCTACCGGTATATCTACATCAGGATAAGAATTGCTACGATTCCTATACCATCCATCGTGATTAAACCCTAAAGCATGTCCATGACCAAATAATGGACCAAAGTCACTACGACCAAATACAGAATAAGCATCACCCTTACTATATCCAACTTTTGCACTTTGAAGGATATCTTTATTTGCAAATGAGAATATAAAGCAATCTTTTGTAGACTTCCAATTACCAGTTAAATCCCACTGAAGTGAATTATATCCTCCAACTATTTGATTCGAATTTGTAATTTTTGCTACAACTATAGTAGCACCTTTATTATCACATTTAGTATGAAAGTCTGAAGTTGTATTACCATCCCTACTAGCACGATAAAGTAAATTGAAATTATAAGGAATATTCTTTAAATCATGATAAAACTGAATTTTCTTTTCAATCCAACCAGAAAAAATAGCAAAATGGTTGTTATAGATGATGACAGAATCATAAACACATTGTTGTTTCCTAGGAAATTGAATATCAACATTTAATTGCTCATATGGAGCCATATGAAATACAAGTATATTATTAATTAAATCCTTTGGTAATATTTCTTTATAAGGATATACTTTAGTAACAAAATCTGCTGAAGGTATATGATAAAATCTTATCAACGGAATAAATCTATAAATAGTTCTCTCCATGATTGTAATTTCTTCTTTATTCCATTTATTAACGTCTTGTTGAATAGTAGATTGTTGAGAAAAGCACCACTTGATCAAGTTATCCCATATATCAATTTCATCCAATGACAAATCATTTCGTTTTAAAAGTAATTCTAATAAAGTTGCATTTAAATTGATAAATTTATCAGATTTAAATAACACATCTGGTTTGTCACAAATTTTTTCAAGATAATAATTCCATAAATCAGTGAAAGTTTCACGTTGGTAAACTGTTTCAAGAATTTCTACAGGATTATTTTGTAAAAATTCATGATGATGTTTGATCAAATATTCTTGAATACAAATTATTAGTCTTTGGATTTTAAGTTCATCCACTGCCGGTAAAAGCTTTAGAATATCTAGTCCTTGTAATTTTGTCAAATCTATCTTTCCACAATAAATAAACCTATTATATTAAAGGAACTTTGTTAATTTCGATATATATAGACAGTATATACGTTTACTTTTATTATTATTATTTTTCTCATTACCTTAAAATAATTTCAAAAAATTGAGGAGTAATATTAGGGAAATTAAAAATAAATTTTCCATCTTTTTTCTTGGTCAATTCATCAGAAAGTACCGTACGAAAATATTGAGACCTAATACGTAAAATATTTGAAAACGCATGTATTTCTTTTACATTTTCATTGTCACCGGCGTGAATAATAACATCATATCCTTCATCAGTTTCAAATAATTTTTCATAATCATTAGCAAGTTCCTGAGAATATTCAAAAGTCATTTTTTTTTTTTAAGAGAGAAAATTTTTTTTTAAAAAAAAACCTTGTATAACATGATCGACGTTTTATTTTGTAACGACAAATCACATGACAAAATTAATCAGCTGGAACTCATTGAATTTTGTTGCATAATTATTAATAAAAATTATATTAACGATATTTTAATTTATATTTTGGGTTATTTTATTAAAAAATTAATAAATAAATTTGAAGACTTTGACGGATGATACTAGGTTCATTACTATCGTCAAAGGATTGAATAGTAGTTGCAAAAAAGAATGAATTACAATATTGTTAACTTTATCCTGAATAATTTTAAATACTTGAGGAGAAAAATTAATTTTATCACCATCATTAAACATTGTTATATTTCATAATTGTTAATGTAGTTATGTAAATTGATTTTACAAAAAAAAGTGAATAGAGTAAAACCTTTTATGATGACGTAGTTCTTAAAAGGTTGCATTATTGATCATCCGAACTTTGACATCATTGGGAAAGAATATTCTGGTGTCCATGAATAATATCTGGAAATTGTCATGAAAATTTGTGTCTAGAAATGACTCGTTTTTGAGAACATCTTCCGCCTATAATTTGCTTAATTTTTAACAGGATATTTTTCTAGGCATTTTGGACATTTCCTGAACAATTTCTGAACATTCATTTTTATAAGGAATACATTGATATAAACGCTGCATGTGAGTACCATCTAAATCAACAAACTGCAAATAATCGTTAGTTTTAACACAATACGACCTTTGTTATCTACTTGTCAAAAATATGGCGACTTTTAGTAACCATTCAAGAACCAATATAGAAAAAGGAAAAAGCAAATTAGGAGATTGATATAGTTATGATATTAAAAAAAAGTCTATTTATATCTACATATGGATAATCAATCCATTTAAATAAATAAATCATTTGGAAAAATGGAATGATTAAGCGTTAAATCATTAAAGAATCAATATAGAGAAAATGAAAAGAACAAATTAAAAACTGATTTAAGCGACATTAAAAAGTTATCTTATTTATTTCTATAAATGAGATGTCTATAAAATCGGGTTTGATCACGTAATCTTTGACAAGTGAAAACCAACGTTGTGAAAATATTAGGTAGCAAATAGAACTCTCAAATCAAAAAAAAATCCGTTCCCAAAATACAATAGTGAAAAACGGAAAGATATGATAGGTGAAAATTACATGTTATATCGCGATTAGGGATGGCAACGGTCACGGTCATTAACCGGTTATGACCGGTCATGACCGTGACCGATATCGGTCGGTCAAAGACCTCTGACCGACCGTTTAACCGATCCTGAAAATGTTTGCGAAACATAATTTAATAAAAAATGTTTCGCAAACGTTTTTTTAATTATTTTAATAGAAAAAGTTGCGAAAACGTTTTTTATTAAGTATTTCAAACGTTTTTTTATTAAATTACGTTTCGCAAACGTTTTCAGGATCGGTTAAACGGTCGGTTAACCGGTCGGTCAGACCGGTCGGTCAAACGGTCGGTCGGTCGGTCAAAGGTTCTTGACCGGTTGTGACCGACCGATGACCGACCATGACCGACCGTTGCCATCCCTAATCGCGATCAAGATTTAGACGTATCTATATTTAAATGGCATTTCATTCCATTTAAAATTATATATGAAAAAAAGGAATAATCAAAATCATATTATATGGAGTATTCTATAATTCATTCCGTTATAAACACATGGATTTTCAGATCCAATTGTTGCTTCTGATGATGAGATCTGGAAAAATCGGTTCTATCGCGAACTGTTTTATTTGTTATTCGTAAGATTTATGTCCTTTTCATTATTCCTGTTATAACACCGATAATTTCATTTTGTTAAACAATTTTGGTTTTAATCGTTTAACATTGGGCGCTATACAAGCTCACGATAAGAAATAATTGGCAAGCTGTGCCTTGATATCTTGGATCTTCGATCTATGAATTATATCACGTCTGTTTTTACTCATTATAACAAGGCTAACACAGAAAAGGTTAATTGATAGACTCACTTATGATCAAACAAATTTTTTTGAAAAATTAATAAGCATTACATACCAAATCCTGAATTGTTTGAACTTCAGGTTCACTTACTACCAGATTACGTCTTGAAAAAAAACAATATTTTTGCGTGCGATTAAATGGAATTTCAACTTTTTCGATCTTGAAATTAGTCCGACTTGTTTATGAAATACAAAATGTTAAGTCGAAATCAGAAGATTAATGATTACGAAAATAATGCGATACAAGATTATACTAAAAAGTTTACTTGGTAGGTTCGAAAAAATTCCAAAATTAAATGATTTAATTGCATTTCTTTTAAATCAGCTATTATTATTATGGCGGTTCATAGACTGTAGTCAAACTTAGTATTTTGTAGTGCTTTGATCCTAATAAAGAAATTAAAACTTTCTCGTGATTATCGAATGAAATTTTTATTCGTTACAAAACTTATAATATCCATTTTGAATTAATTATTCAATAAATATTTTATTTATATTTCAAGAAACAGGATTATATAATCCATTAATTGTAGTTTTTTTCTCGTTCAATATGATTATCACATAATTCCATTACATAATATACATGAATTTAAAAAAAAAAGGTTTGTTACTAGAAGTCGGTATTTTTTTAGTGAGACTTTAACCTTTGCTGTTTATACCTTACAGGCTTACAGTAAAAATTAGATAGTAAATTCAAAAAAAATTCCGGTGTAACATTTAACCAATTTGAATACAATTTATGGCATTATAGGCTCTACCTAGTACTGAAAATACATAAAACATACTGGGATTAACAACCATTTGGTTCTAAGCCTGAGTTTAATAAAAATAAACATGTTTTAGTAAATATTATTCATATAGAAATATGTAATAGATTGATGATTTGTAAAGAAATTAAAATGTCATCTTAAACCTCACGCATTATTGCGTATTCATGCCAATATAGGGATAAAATAGATAAAATATTTTTTTTTTTAGAATAATGAAGAATACTAGTCTCTACGAAAAAAATTAAACACAGGTTTGACTTGGTATTTATAACTTTTTTATTATAGACAAATTCTAAAAAAAAAAAAAAATTCACATCATAAAAAATTATCATTGTAGTTAACGTATTCAATGTTACAAATCCATAAAAGTTCCCTAAAACAATTTCAAAAAATCGAGGAGAGAAATTTTATAAATATATTTTTCATCTTTTTTTTCGGTAATGTTGTATGAACATTATATTTGTCGGAATTAAGTCATTTTCGTACTCATTAGTACACAACCTGCATTGATATGATTTCTCACAAGATTTTTAATAATATCAATGACTATTAAAAAATATAATTTATGAACTTATTTATTATTGATTTATAATCAAAAACGACTAAACAGAATAAACAATATAGTATGTTATACACAATACACTCTAAATGGCACTATATGAATATACAAAGAAACGAGTTCAATAGTAAATAAATACAAATTCATAATGTGTTCATATTGAAAATTCTAATTTAATTATAAATTAATCATTCTTCTGATAATAAGAAGTCACTTGACGCTTAGCGTTTTTAGTGTGTAATCAACCCATTTAGTTATTCATAAATCATAAAATCTATATGCCGTGAATACACAAATTTGATTATTTCTTAACAACTTGAAAAACTTCATAATCATCCGTTTGAAAATTGTTTAACGGTATACCTACATCGGGATAAGAACTGCTACAACTCCTATACCATCTATTGTTACTAAAACCTAAGTCATGTCCACCACCAAACAACGGACCATAGTTAACATTCCCACCAAATACAGAATACGGATCACCATAATTACTATATCCTAATTTTGCACTTTGGAGGTTATCTTTATTTGCAAATGAGAATATAAAGCTATCACTTGTAGGCTTCCATCCGTTACTTGAATCCCAATAAAGAGGATTGTATCCTCCAACTATTTGCTCCGAATTTGTAATCTTTACTATAACTATAGTAGCTCCTTTATTATCACATTTGGCATGAAATGTCGCAATTGTATTACCATCCCTACTAGCACGATAAAGTAAATTGAATTTATAAGGAATATTATTTACATTGTAATAAGACTCATTTTTATTTTCAATCCAACTAGAAAAAATTGCAAAATGCTTGTCACTAATGATAACAGAATCATAGACACATTTTGGTTTCCTGGGAGATTGTACATCCACATTCAATTTCTCATCTGGCGCCATGTGAAATACAAGTATATTATTAATTAAATCTTTTGGTAATATTTCTTTAAAAGGATATACTTTAGTAACAAAATCTGCTGAGGGGATATGATAGAATCTTATCAACGGAATAAATCTATGAATGGTTCTTTCCATAATTACAATTTCTTCCTTATTCCATTTATTAACATCTTGTTGAATAGTAGGATGCTGGGAGAAGCACCACTTGATCAAGCTATTCCATATAATAATTTCATCCAATGACAAATCATCTCTTTTTAAAAGTAATTCCAATAAAGGTGCTTTTAAATTGATGAATTTATCAGATTTAAATAATAAATCTGGTTTAGTACAAATTTCTTCAAGACAATAATTCCATAAATCCGTAAAAGTTTCATGTAAATAGATTGTTTCAAGAATTTCGGTAGGATTTTGTTGTAAAAATTCGTGTTGATGTTTAATCAAATATTCCTGAATACAAATCACTAGTCTCTGGATTTTAAGTTCATCCGCTCTTGTCAAAAGCTTTAGAACATCTTGTCCCTGCAATTTCTCCAAATCTATCTTTCCACAATAAATAAACCTAAATATTAAAAGAATATTATTGCGTCATTAATTTTGACATATATAGACCGTATATAATACTTTTATTACTTGTTTTTCATTACCTTAAAATAATTTTAAAAAATTTTGGAGAAATGTTAGGAAAATTAAAAATATATTTTCCATCCTTTTTCTTGGTCAATTCGTTAGAAAAAGCCGTACGAAAATATTGAGACCTGATACGTAAAATAATTGAATGTGAATGTATTTCTTCTACATTTTTATTTTCACCGGCGTAGATAATAACATTATAATCTTCATCAGTTTTAAGTAAATTTTCATAATCATCAGCAAGTTCTTGAGAATATTCAAAGGACATTTTTTTTTAAAAAAAAAAAAGAAAAAAAGAAAAGGAAAAAAAATAACTCGTATTACTTGTATTACATGATCGACGTTTTATTTTACAATGATAAATCACATGAAAAAATTTATAGTTTGAGCTCGTATTTGAATTTGTTACACAATTATTGATAAAAAATTTTATATAATTTCGGAATTTTTGACGGGCGATGATATTACTATTACCAAAAGGTCGAATAGTTGCCATTTTAATTTTTCACAATAAATACAATAAAATCTAAAAGGAATCGATGGACATTATAAAAATAATTTATGTTCAAAAATATCATTTTTTTTTAATTTTATCTATTTTATCTTTGAATACTTTTAAATACTTGAAGAGAAATAGTAAATTTTTAAAGAATGAATATTCCAATTATATTTGTTCACTATTCGTTAAAAATTGTCAACTTCGATACGAAATTTTGAGATTTTTCTGCAAGATGTAGTATTATTCTTTACAATAAGAATAATAAATTAAAATTTCTTTTTTAATTTAATTCTAAATGAGTGATATGTATTACATTCTCCAAATATTATTATGGACCAAAGCCAAAAAAGAAACCAAATAATAAAATTTATAAATTCCAATAAATTTTATTATAATTTAACCAAGAATTATGTTTGAATTGAAGTTTATAAAGTTTTAGAATATCTGAGTCGACAGAGTCGTTAAATAAATTTTTCACAATAAATAATCTTTTAAATATTGAGAAAAATTATCATTATTGTTACGAGCTTATTTTTTACTTTTTTATATTACTAAAATAATTTGAAGAGAAATTTAAAAAAAACCTAAAATATATTTTCATTAGCGATAATAAAACCAATATTCTTTGTAAGATTTAAGATATTTCATACTTGATTAGTACGCAATCCGTATTGATAAGGAATACGATTTCTTACAAAAAGATTCTTAATAGTATTCTTGATTGTTCAATATTATAATTTATGAACATGCAGCTATATCAATTTTGAATTCAAAAAAAAAGAATGGTCGTACTGTTTAGTCGTCTTACATTTTATATAATATATACAATATATGACGTATATGATAAAATGAATACACAAGAAAAAGAGTTCAATAAAAATTTTCATAATAATAAATATTTATTCAAAATTCTATAATTAATTATACTATTTCTGAATAATAACACTGGAATTTTTAGTATACATTGCTATTAAAAGTTCTATAAAAATAAAATACGCTAATTTGATTATTTTTTAACAACTTGAAAAACTTCATAATCGTCTACTTCAAATCTGTTTAATGGTATACCTACATCAGGATATGAATGACTTCCACTCCTATACCATCCAGTGTTATTAAAACTTAAATCATCTCCACCAAATACCGGACCATAGCTAGCATTACCACAAAATACAGAATACGCATCACCATTACTATATCCTACTACTCCACCTTGTACGTTATCTTTATTTGCAAATGAGAATATAAAACTATCTTTAGTTGACTTATATTTATTACTTAAACTCCAATAAAAAGGATTGTATCCTCCAACTATTTGATCCGAATTTGTAATCTTTACTATAACTATGGTAGCTCCTTTATTATCACAATTATCGTGAAATCCAAAAAGTGTATTACCATCCCTACTAGCACGATAAAGTAAATTGAATTTATAAGGAATATTATTTACTTTATAATAAGACTCAATTTTCTTTTCAATCCAATTTGAAAAAATAGCAAAATGTTTGTTACTAATGATAATAGAATCACAAACATATCTTTGTTTCCTAGGAGATTGCACATTCACATTTAAGTGCTCATTTGGTGCCATGTAAAATAAAAGTATATTATTAATTAAATTCTCTGGCATTATATTTCTGAAAGGGAATACTTTAGTAATAAAAATTGCTGAAGGGATATGACGAAACCTTATCAACGGAATGAATCTATGAATGGTTCTTTCCATAATTAAAATTTCTTCTTTATTCCATTTTTTAACATCTTTTTGAATAGAAGGATGCTGAGAAAAACACCATTTGATCAAATTATTCCATATATCAATTTCATCTAATGATAAATCATCTCTTTTTAAAAGTAATTCTAATAAAGGTGCTTTTAAATTGATAAATTTATCAGATTTAAATAATATATCTGGTTTAGCACAAATTTCTTCAAGATAATAATTCCATAAATCTGTGAAATTTTCATGTAAATAGATTGTTTCAAGAATTTCTATAGGATTTTGTTGTAAAAATTCATATTGACGTTCAACCAAATATTCTTGAATACAAATTACTAGTCTTTGGATTTTAAGTTCATCCACTATCGTCAAAAGTTTTAGAATATCTGGTCCTTGTAATTTCTCCAAATCTATCTTTCCACAATAAATAAACCTAAATATTAAAAGAATATTAGACTGTATAAAATGTTATGTTTACTTTTATTATTACTTGTTTTTTTTCATTACCTTACCTTAAAATAATTTTAAAAAATTTTGGAGAAATTTTAGGAAAATTAAAAATATATTTTCCATCCTTTTTCTTGGTCAATTCGTTAGAAAATGCCGTACTAAAATATAGAGACCTGAAACGTAAAATATTTGAATGTGCATGTATTTCTTTTACTTTGTTATTTTCACCAGCATAAATAATAACATCATAATCTTCATCTTCTTCAAATAATTTTTCATAATCATTAGCAAGTTCCTGAGAATATTCGAAAGTCATTTTTTTTTTTTTTTATAGAAAATTTTTTGTTTTAAAAAAAAAAAACTTGGGTTACATGATCGGCGTTTCATTTTATAATGGAATTTATAATAAATGTAATCTGTCTATCAATTTATTTTAGCATCGATCGCCTTAATGAAACCTAACTTTATATAAAAACGACTATTTTAGTGGTCGTCCAATATATTTTTGTATATAAGCATTTTTATAAAAACCAATCATAAATTATTAAAAGAATACATAAATTAGTTATTTTATTTATACAGAAATTATAAGAAGTCCATTTATAATAAAAATATTACTCAATTTTATAAATAAAATTTGATTATAATGTCAAAGCTTAATATGTAAATATTTGGTTCGTTAATTATAATATTATCAACTTTTATCTTGATGGCTTCGGCAGAAGAAATGTAAAAGAAATGTATTGTAATCTCATGATAATGATATCATAAATTCCGAGCGCTTTGGATACCTAAACATATATATAAACTAAAATCCAAAGAATCTGCATATGTATTGATTTTATTTTATTTTAAAAATTTAGACAATGACTGGAGCTATACAAGTCTGTGGGCTGAGCCCTTACAAAAGGAAAGCTACTGTACCCACTATACACGTATAAACCCAACGAAGAAATCGTATTGCCTGTTATTGAAAAAGAACAACACTAGGCATTACGAGGAAAAAGAGAACAACGAAAAGTAATTAATTAAAAAATAAAAAAAAAATATATTCGTTTCTAATTAAATCATATATCCGTATTTTTCTTTCATCTACCGATGCTACACGTAAATACTGTCATGTATAGAATGTTGTATTCTGTGAAGGTCCGTTGTTGTTTTTAATATGGTACGAAAGTAAATTATTCGTGCGCCGGGGTCGGCGGGTAGATGACGGTCGATACTGATTCGGCAGCGGATACATATGAGATATCGCTCATAGTGGTAGTCGTTATCAGGAGGGAGTGTTCTGCGCAAAAATATGTTTCTTTTTTTGATGCGGAGTAACGCACGTTAGTCTTTGTTCCATGCGTGACATCTTCCACAATAGTAGGTATGTTGATGTTGTAAAGCTGATAAAGTTGAATTGCGTGGGCATAGTCGTAATTATATTGTGGTATTTAACTGACGTCATAACTTCGTCTAATTTCGTAGCCAAAAAGGTTAATATTGTAAGTTTTTTTGTAATATACTCGAGGATCCCCAGGAGTACAGGTGCCAAAGGAGGTAAAGGTTTCTTTTTCTTATTTCGCCTTTTGGTTCTACGCAACTAATTTTTAGCGGGCCGTTTAAGTTTAACTAATTGTTTTATAGGATAGTCAAGAGATTTGCCGTAACGTGAAGCGTGACCCGTATGACCATAATAAAATCTATCGGCACGTGTTGGATTTGTTTAAACACTAGGGATTTGGTGAGTGTCCGCTTGGGCTTTGTGTGAGGACAGGTTTCTTATTACTAGGGTTTAAGGTACTCCGCGTAAGGCAGTTCCATCATTCTATTTGTTGAGTGATCGTACGACGTCGAATCGTAACTTGGAATATTCTTTGTAATACGGTCGTCGCACGCTGGTGTTTGGTCGGTTGTGACTATCTTTTCTAGTGGTTTGTTCGACAATACGTTTAAGGAGTGTTTAAGGTCGGGATTACGGTTTCCGAGTGTGTGTTGTATTTTTGTTTGTAACAGTGTAACCTATACCTAGACGATTCAAGTAAATTTCCTTGACGTTTTTTTGATGTTTGATACTATTTTTCGTCAGCATCCTTTTCATTTGTTCCTCGTAGAATCTCACTAGATTATGGTTCTAGTGAAACAAGGGTATGGATTTGATGTGGTGTCCACAACGCCAACGGTTTTTAGACATCACGAAGGCGGTTGGAAGGGTACAAATTGAGTCGTTACTGATCTTTCCGCATCGGAGGTAGAAGCCTAGGTAAATCACGTGTTCACCGGAACTAAACCGGATAAAAGTTTTAGTTATTTTCTTTGTCACTATTTAGCCTGTCACGTATGGCGTAATATTTTTCTTTGAGGAGTTGGCGTAGTCTTTTGAAGTATTTATCCACGATTTGTTTGAGAAATTGTCGGTTTAGGGAAAATACGAACGTGAGGTAAATAAAATTGAAATTGGAATGTGTGACAGTGATCTTTTGATCATTGGTGTAAATCGATTTTCATGACACGGGTAGATCTGCGTCGTAATCGTGAGAGAGGCAGAGAGCAGGAAGTATCATCCCTTTTTTGTATTGTATAACGTTCCGGTCGTTCCGCTCCCGCGTGTGTCACATGTGACGTAAGGATTGAGTTTCTTAATCCTAAGGAAAAGTATGTGTTTTAATGGGTTTGTAAAGACGGATAATAGCCTAAGTGTTAGGTGGGTCTTCGTTCATAATATATTTGAGGGGACTTCGTGGAGTAGGTTTTATTATGGGTATAGACTAGGTAAAAAAAAAATTGTTCCTAACTTTTACACTTAGAACAATAGAAAATATAAAAAACGAAGAAAAAATATTAAAAAGCATATGTTGCATATGTATTGTGATTTGTGAACATTCACCATTCATGTGATATAGATGATCAATATGACGGTGACCGGAAAAATATTTGAAATATTTGAGCAGATCTTTCCTTTTTTTAATGCAAATCTTTGCTTTTGAATAATACATTAATATGCACAGCCACAATTTTTGCCTTTTTTTTCCTCCAGAAGGCTTTTTTTAAAACAACGCAATATATATTGGAATGATAATCAGAACCCATGATTTTTTTTTTTTTGACATAAAGCTTCAAATTTGGGTAGACGAAAAAATAAGTCGCTGATCTTTAATCATATTTGGTCAAATTAAAAAAAAACAATGTAATTATGCGTATAAAGATCTGCAAAGGGTTATTGTTTACCGGATTAGTATTTAATTAGCACGTTATTTCAAAAAAAAAGTTTTTGAACTTTTTTCTGTTCTCCTTTTTTTTATTTTTAAAAAAAAAAAATAAAAATAAATCATGACTCTCGATTGTTCTCAAGATGTTGTTTATGATTTGGAAAATTTACTTGAAACTGACGAAGGATATGACGTTATTATTTACGCTGGCGAAAATGAAAATGAAACAGAAATTCATGCTCATTCACTTATATTACGCACAAGGTCACAATATTTTCGTACAGCTTTCTTTGAAGAAACGTGGATTATGGCAAGAGATGGAAAATATATTTTTAAGAAACCTAACGTCAAACCTAATTTTATTAAAATCATTTTAAGGTATGAAATACAATAATTTTTTTTTTTTTTATTTATTGTATATACTTTTATATTTAAATAATAAAATTTTCTTTCTTTAGATTTTTTTATTGTGGAAAGGTTGATTTAACTAAATTATTAGAACCAGATATTATGGATCTTTTGATAGTGGTTGATGAATTTAAAATTCAAATTTTAATCCGTTTTATACAAGAATATTTAATCAAAAATCTTCATGAGTTCTTACGGCAGAATCGGGTTAGAATTCTTGATTATTTTTATCAAAATGATTCCGTTCTAGACCTTTGGAATTATTGTTTTAACAATATTTGCGAAGAAGTGGAAATATTTTTTAATTCTAATAAATTTTTTGATTTAAAAGAAAATCTATTAGAATTACTCTTAAAAAGGGATGATTTATCATCTAATGAAATTGTTATTTGGAAAAATCTGATCAATTGGTGTTTGGCAAAACATCCTAGTATTTCAAGTGATGTTGAAAAATGGAATAGAAATGAAATCGCAATCATGGAGAAAACTATTCATAATTTTATACCATTAATTAGATTTTATGAAATGTCATCAGATGATTTTCTTTCAAAAGTTTATCCTTATAGAAATTTATTACCAAAAGATTTGATTAATAACGTACTTATATTTCATATGGATTTAAATGTTAAATTTAGTGCTAATATTAAAAATAAACAATTTAAATTTAAAAAATGTGGTTATGATTCTATTTTAATTAAACCGCGACATTTTGCCATCATTGCTAGTTGGATTGAAAAGAAAGATGATTTTTATGATGTTAGAAATCTTCCTTATAGTTTTAATTTAATTTATCGTTCTAGTAAGCATGGTTATACAACTGCTGCATTTCATGAACATTGTGATAATAGAGGTGCTTCTATTGTTATTGGAAAAGTCACGAATTCGGATCAATTGGTTGGAGGTTATAATCCACTTAGTTGGGATTCAAATAAATCTTGGAATTTTACTGTTGATAGTTTTATTTTTTCTTCTAAAAATAGAGATAATCTTCAAAATACTGTAGTAAGTTATAGTTTTGATGAACATTCTATATATTGTGATCCTCTTTATGGTCCTGCATTTGGTAGTGATTTAATTTGTTCAAGTAATGGTGCTTGGAGAAGTAAGGAACGTTTTTATCATAAGATTGATGCTCCATTGGATTTCGAAGTGGATGATTATGAAGTTTTTCAAGTTATTAAAAGATTTAATTAGAAAGGATTCAAATATCAATTCATTCTTTTTTGTTCTACAGTATGTTCAATTTGGGTAAATCTTTTATGATTCGAGATAATATTTTTAGATTTTTTTTTTTCAAACAATCCTTTAGAATATTGTGTGATATATAGATTCATTACATATCGAACGTATATTAGAATATCCAATAAAGAGGGGATCTTTTTTAGTAATGAATTAAATTTATTTGTCAATTTAACAAGAACTTTTTTTTTCCATTTAATTTCACGAAGACGAGATCATTTTAATTTGGCGGTATTGTTACTATATAAAATTGTTTATTCCAAGAAATATTACGTTATTTTAATGTTTAATTTGAAATTGTAGCGTAAATATATATTTATGTTGAAACTAACAATAGAACTATTCAAGGTATGACGTAACTCAATTTATCTGAATCAAATGATGCAGATTTCAGGGGATAAACTTTGTGATTAACGACAGATTCAGAATATTGTTTCTTAAATTAGTATTATACTTCTCGTAATTAAATTCCGTATTAATTTCTGTTTCTTTTAATTTCGATCTTAACGTAAAATAATCCATAATTTTATTATCATTCAATCGATTTTAAAAGATCTGTATCTAAATAAATTTGGTCCGATTAATAAATGTTTCGTTTATTATTAGATGGTTACTTTATTACATAATTATCGAATAGGCAGTTTTGGAATAATTTTGTCGCCATACGGTGAATCGGTGGACTAGGCTGGCAACTGAACCGTAGCCGGGCCCCGTTCTGGTCTTTATCAGGATCAGCTGACACAGATATGTTAAATTTACACTTACTATAAAAAAAAATCTTTTAAAAGATATTTTTAAAAGAAAATTGGCTCTTCAAACTTTTGTACAAAAATAGTGTACTAAATAAATGCTTGGAAAATCAATATTATTCATATTTACAAACTATTTTTGACATAATCTAGCTGTTGCTGCTCTTAAAATAAGATTTTTATGTGATTAGTTCCCATGGCTGGCAATGAGAACTATTTAATATATTAACATTTTCTTCTAACACATTTTTTTTAAAAAAAAGACATGCATATTCAAATTTCACGTCTTAACATATTTTTGCAGTACTCTCTAGAGAATGGTTTAAAAAGAAGGAAATATTTATACAGTACTAATTGAATTTTATTTCACATAACCTTTAGAAAAATTAATTAATTTGAAATTATTTTAAGGTAATGTTTACAGTTCTTACGTTAAAATTTATGGTAATGGAATATTTTGTACTAGATTAAACATCGCAATTAAAATTATTCATTGTGGAAAAATTAATTTGCAGTGACCCCGAAAATTACAGTAATTCGATATTTTTAAAACTTTTGATAGCAGTAGATAATTTAATATTTAGTCAAATATTCCTGAATATTGAATATTAACACAAGTTTTTATAACAAACCCGTAGAAATTCTTGAAGCAATCTATCAACATGAATCTATTGCAGATTTATAAAATTTTTCTCTCAAGATTTTTGAAGAACCAGAAATATTGAGTTCAGATAAATTTATCAGTTTAAAGGCACCTTTATTAGAATTATTTTCAAGCATAATCAAATGGGTTTTTCAGAATCCTTTTATTAAGAAAGATATTGAGAATGGAATAAAGGAGATATCACGATTATGGAGAAAACTTTTTGTAAATTCATTCCTTTAATTAAATTTATTTGTATAACTTCAGAAGATTTTCTTTAAAAGTATATCCTTTTAAAGAGTTGCTACCTAATAATTTATTAAGAATGTATTTACATTTCATGTGGCACCAAATCAGAAATTGTATTTTGAGAATCAATTGTAAATAGTAAATGGATAACGGAATGTGGTATATTTAGACGTTAGTTGTTTATGAAAGTGTAAAAGACGTAGAAAACGTAGAAAGTGCAAGAAAATCGCGAAATCACAACAAATGTTTGTCTAAGAACGTTTCTTTTATGACGTGGAAATTTGATAATTTTTTCAAATGATTTGCAGGGGGATAGCACAATCTTGAAAAGAGCAATAAAGAATTTATTTTTGGTTTGAACCGAAAAAAAAAAAAAAACTAACGGTGAAATTATGTTGTAATGCCGGCCAGTGTTTTATTAGATTTTTAATTCTGGCCAAAAGTACATCATAATGCTGGTATGGTGACCATCTAAACTTTAGCATCTTTTTTTGGTTTTGAAAAAAAAAGATCGAAAATAAATTATAAAAAAAAAAAAACTTTTTTTTGGTACTGAAAAAAAAAACGAAAAAAAAATTGATTAAAAAAAAATTTCTCGGTATTTGAAAAAAAAACCTCCAAAATAAAAACTAATTATTTATTTTTTTGGGTTGAACCTTTAGCTACAACAAACGTGGAATTGATCGAGCGCAGGGTCGCAAACACATCACGCGTTTCATGTTGCACAATTCAAATTTTTCATTGGATATTGCGATAAATTTAATAAATTATAATGTTTTTTGATTTTATTAAATCTCCTATTTCATCAAATTTATAAATAACCAAATCATGTTACGCAAAATTATTTTTTAAACCGTGGCAATTTTGTAAGAAGGTAATAATTTGTAAATGTTATTGTTGTTTAATTAAGATCGATTCCGTTTCCATTTCAAAAAGTAAGTTTTTAATGATAATTTTGAAACTATCGCTATATTATAAAAAAAAAACGCTAATAATTAGCATTTTTCTTATTTTTGTAAGAAATCTAGTTCCATTTAGATATCAGATCCGAAATTCCCTAAGTTTTCGTTTTCGAAAAAAAAATAATTTTTTATTTTAAAATTTTGTAGTGTCTTATGAAGCTCTTTTCCTTCAAATATGTAATGAAAAGTTTTAAGATTTAAATAATTCAACTATTAATTTAACAGACTATATTAAATTTTCTATTATTTTGTAGATAGAATATTAGAATAAAAAATTCTTCTAAACAAATAATTTGTTAAGTAGTACTGAACTCATGCTGCGGATGTGTTCCCAAATCATAAAATCATGTGATTGAGTTCCCATGAAATGATTTACAACTTATTTCCAATTAAACTTATATAATGCACAAATACAATTTCATTCAACTTTCAACATTGAAAAATGCCTTTCGAATGTCCTCAAGAAGTGACTGATGATTATGAAAAATTACTTGAAACTAATGAAGATTGTAATGTTATTATTTACGCCGGAGAAAATAATGATGTGAAGGAAATACATGCACATTCAAATATTTTACGTATTAGGTCCAAATATTTTTCTGCAGAACTCTCTAAAGAGCGACCTGAAATGAACGATGGAAAATTTATTCTTAGAAAACCCAATATTCCGCCTCATTTATTTGAAATGATTTTAAGGTAATGTTAAGTTTTTATATTAAATTTTATGGTGATAATTAAATACTTTATTTAATTAATTCTTTTTTTTAATATTCAGATTTATTTATTGTGGAAAGATTGATTTAGAGAAATTACAAGAATCTGATATTTTAAGACTTTTGATAATAGTAAATGAACTCAACATTTTTACATTAATAAATCATATTCAAGAATATATGATTAACCATCATGATGAATTTTTACAAAAAAATCCTATTGGAGTTCTTGAAACAGTTTATCAAAAGGAAAATTTCACTGATATATTAAATCTTTCTCTTAAGAAAATTTGTGAAGAGCCGGAAATATTATTTGATTCTTATAAACTTATTAGTTTAAAATCATCTTTATTGGAGTTACTTCTGAAAAGAGATGATTTATCATTAGACGAAATTGTTATTTGGGATAATTTGATTAAATGGTGTTTTTCTCAACATTCGAATATTTCACAAGATCCTACACAATGGAATAGAGAAGAAATCACAATCATGGAGAGAACAATTCATAAATTTACTTCATTAATAAGATTTTATTATATTTCTATGGAAAATTTCGTTACTAAAATATATCCATTTAAAGAAATATTGCCAAAAGATTTAATTAATAAGATGCTTATATTTTATGCTCAAAATAATCAACTAGTAAATGAGGATAAACGACCTCCTAGACAATCGAAATGTAAAATTGATTCCGTTATAATTAATCAAAAACATATTGAAATTTTTGCAAACTGGATTTATAGAAAAGTAAAAGTTTCCGAATATATTCCTTATAATTTTCATCTCTTATATCGAGCTAGTAGGGATGGTAATACAAATACCGCATTTCATGAAAAATGTGATAATAAAGGAGCTACCCTAGTTATAGTAAAAATCACAAATTCAAATCAAATAGTCGGAGGATATAATCCACTTAGTTGGGATTGTGAAGGAACACGAAGGCCAACCTATGATAGCTTTATATTCTCATTTACAAATAGAGATGACCTTCAAAGCGCAAATTTAGGTTACAGTAATGGTGTTAAAGCTATAGGTGGTTATGGTAGTAATGGCCCAGTATTTGGCGGAGGTAGTGATTTAGAATTTTATAAGGGTACTTGGTATAGTCATATAAATAGTAATTGTTCTTATCCTAAAATTGGTATACCAACAGGTGCTTTTAAAGCAGATGATTATGAAGTTTTTCAAGTTATTAAAAAATAATCGAAATATGTAACTGTTCAAGCTTTTAGCTTAAAGTAATTCTTATAAACGAGTTATTTATTAACTAAATCATTTTTATATTTAATTCACATTAAATTTTAAAGAATTGGTTACTAATACTTTACAGAAACTTCAAGATCGTAGCGATGGCTTAATGCGCAGTAACTACATATATGTAATTTCTTTACGATTACATAATGTGGTCACTATGTATTTATAACGCAGTTACTGCGCATTAAGCCATCGCTACGATCTTGAAGTTTCTGTAAAGTATTTTTGTAATGAACTAATGAAGCGAGCTTATTTGATTTTACTTAAAGCAAATTTGTCCTGGTAAAATTACTAAAAAACAATTTTTACTAAATTCTAAAAATTCCTAAAAATGGTATGCTATAGAGTCGGCTGAAATTTTGCTTATGCGATCATCTCCAAAATTCTGTAAGTTACATGTGATTGTGTTCCGTGAGTGAGTCGTACAACATTCAATATTTAAATTTAAACATCTATGGAAATTATAAGGCGATTATTGTTAAAAATAAAGATGCCTTCTGAATACCTTCAAGAAGTAGCTAATGATTACGAAAAATTACTTGAAGATAATGAAGATTGTAACGTTATTATTTACGTTGGTGAAAATGAAAATGTGAAGGAACTGCATGCACATTCTTGTATTTTACGTATTAGGTCCCAATATTTTCGTGCAGCACTCTCTAAGGAATGGTCTGAAAAGAAAGATGAAAAATTTGTTTTTAGAAAACCTAATATTTCACCTCAACTATTTGAAGTTATTTTAAGGTACTATCGTAATTATTTATATGGTATATTAAAATACCTCTATTAAATTTTTTTTTTTTTAAATATTCAGATTTATTTATTGTGGAAGAATTGATTTAGAAAAATTGCAAGGGCCTGATATCTTAAAACTTTTGATAGCGGTGGATGGACTTGGAATTCAAACCTTAGTCATTCATACACAAGAGTATTTGATTGAACATCAATTTGAATATTTACAACAAAATCCTATTGTAATTCTCGAAACAATTTATCAGCATGAGACTTTTATGGATTTATTTAATCTCTCACTTAAGAAAATTTGTGGGGAACCAGAAATATTATTTAGTTCTGATGAATTTATGAGTTTGAAACCATCTTTATTAGAATTACTTTTGAAAAGAGATGATTTGTTATTAGATGAAATTGTCATTTGGGATAATTTGATTAAATGGTGTTTTGCTCAACATTCGAACATTTCACAAGATCCCACACAATGGAATAATGAAGAATTCACACTTATGGAAAGGACAATTAGTAAATTTATCCCGCTTGTAAGATTTAATTATATTTCTCCGGAAAGTTTTGCTACTAAAGTATATCCATTTAAAGTTATAATGCCAAAAAGTTTAGTTAATAACATGATTTTATTTTACATGGCTCAAAACAAACAATTAAATGAAGACAAAGGACCTCCTAGACAATCGAAATGTAAAATTGATTCCGTTATAATTAATCAAAAACATATTGAAATTTTTGCAAACTGGATTTATAGAAAAGTAAAAGTTTCCGAATATATTCCTTATAATTTTCATCTTCTATATCGAGCTAGTAGGGATGGTAATATGCATGAAGCATTCCATGAAAAATGTGATAATAAAGGAGCTCCCTTAGTTATAGTAAAAATTACAAATTCAAATCAAATAGTCGGAGGGTATAATCCACTTAGTTGGGATACAAGTAATACATGGAAGTCTACTTATGATAGCTTTATATTCTCATTTACAAATAGAGATGACCTTCAAAGCGCAAATTTTGGTTACAGTAATGGTGTTAATTCTATAGGTTGTTATGGTATTAATGGCCCAGTATTTGGCGAAGGTTCTGATTTAGCTTTTTATGGGGGTACTTGGTTTAGTCATATAAATAATAATAATTGTTATCCTAAGATGTGTATAAGAGACAGGTAATGGTGTTAATTCTATAGGTTGTTATGGTATTAATGGCCCAGTATTTGGCGAAGGTTCTGATTTAGCTTTTTATGGGGGTACTTGGTTTAGTCATATAAATAATAATAATTGTTATCCTAAAATTGATATACAAACAGGTGGTTTTAAAGCAGATGATTATGAAATTTTTCAAGTTATTAAAAAATAATCGAAATATATACTAACTGTTCAAGCTTTTACCTTAAAGTAATTCTTATAAACGAATTATTTATTAACTAAATCATTTTATATTTAATACACATTAAATTTTAAAGAATTGGTTACTAGTATTTTTGTAATGAACTAATGAAGCGAGCTTATTTGATTTTAAAATATAAAAATGCAAATTTCTTGGTAAAATTATCATGCTATGATAGAGCCGGCTGAAATTTTGCTTATACGATCATCTGTAAGTTACATGTGATTGTGTTCCGTGAGTGAGTCGTACAACATTCAATATTTGAATTTAAACTTCTATGGAAATTATAAGGCGATTATTATTAAAAATAAAGATGCCTTCTGAATACCTTCATGAAGTGGCTAACGATTACGAAAAATTACTTGAAGATAATGAAGATTGTAACGTTATTATTTACGTTGGTGAAAATGAAAATGTGAAGGAACTGCATGCACACTCATGTATTTTGCGTATTAGGTCCCAATATTTTCGTGCAGAACTCTCTAAGGAATGGTCTGAAAAGAAAGATGAAAAATTTATTTTTAGAAAACCTAATATTTCACCTCAACTATTTGAAGTTATTTTAAGGTACAGTCATAATTGTTTATACTATGGTATATTAAAATACCACTATTAAGATTTTTTTTTAAATATTCAGATTTATTTATTGTGGAAGAATTGATTTAGAAAAATTGCAAGGACCTGATATTTTAAAACTTTTGATAGCGGTGAATGAACTTGGAATTCAAATCTTAGTCAGTCATACACAAGAATATTTGATTGAACATCATGATGAATATTTACAACAAAATCCTATTGAAATTCTCGAAACAATTTATCAACATGAAACTTTCATGGATTTATTTAATCTTTCACTTAAGAAAATTTGTGAGGAACCAGAAATATTATTTAGTTCTGATAGATTTATAAGTTTGAAACCATCTTTATTAGAATTACTTTTTAAAAGGGATGATTTGTTATTAGATGAAATTGTCATTTGGGATAATTTGATTAAATGGTGTTTTGCTCAACATTCTAATATTTCACAAGATCCTACACAATGGAATAATGAAGAAATCACAATTATGGAAAGAACAATTAATAAATTTATCCCGCTTGTAAGATTTAATTATATTTCTTCAGAAAGTTTTGCTACTAAAGTATATCCATTTAAAGATATAATGCCAAAAAGTTTAGTTAATAACATGATTTTATTTCACATGGCTCAAAACAAACAATTAAATGAAGACAAACGACCTCCTAGACAATCTAAATGTAAAATTGATTCCGTTATAATTAATCAAAAACATATTGAAATTTTTGCAAATTGGATTTATAGAAAAGTGTATATTTCCGAATATATTCCTTATAATTTTTATCTTCTATATAGAGCTAGTAGAGACGGTAATACTGATGAAGCATTCCATGAAAAATGCGATAATAAAGGAGCTACCTTAGTTATAGTAAAAATCACAAATTCAAATCAAATAGTCGGAGGGTATAATCCACTTAGTTGGGATACTTCAGGTCGGAAGTCTACTTATGATAGCTTTATATTCTCATTTACGAATAGAGATAATCTTCAAAGCGCACAATTAGGTTACAGTAATGGTGTTAATTCTGTAGGTAGTAGTCGTAATAATGGCCCAGTATTTGGTGGGGTAGTGATTTAGATTTTTATAAGGGTACTTGGTTTAGTCATATAAATAATAAATGTTCTTATCCTAAAATTGATATACCGACAGGTGGTTTTAAAGCAGATGATTATGAAGTTTTTCAGGTTATTAAAAAATAATTAGACCGTATTTATGAATTATGGTTCATCTTTTAGCTTAGAAAACTTCAGTTAATACAATAATAAATATTACTTTAAACACAAATTTATTGATTGGTCAAATTATTTCCCTACAAAAAAAGAATTCTGAAATTTGTCCGGAAATGTTAAATAATATTCGGTATCTTTTACATTTCAGATGTCCGGAATCTTTTATATTTTGCTATATTTTCCGAACGTTTTAGACAGAGATATCCAAACATTCTCGCTGTAATTTTCGTACATCTCTGATCAAAATAAACAATAAACATATTTAGTCCCGATAAATTTAATTACACAAGTTTTTGATATTAAATCTACTATCGTATCAAATTTTATAGAATTTCCGAATCGTTCCATGTAGAGTTATTTTTTAGATCATGGTAAATTTATTTTCTGTAAAAAAAGGATTAATTTATAAATGTTATTATTGTTTATTTTAATGGACATCAGAAACTGAGATCCTTGGAAGGCTTTTAATAATAATTTTGAGACTATACAGTATTTAACGACTCAATAATTTTTTTTTTTTTATTCTTTTATAGGAAATTCCATTTTAATACCAGATACCTAAGTAGGTAATTAACATATTTCAATATTTTTTATTGTCTGGTTTTCTTTATCAAAGATTTTGTCTACAAATTTGTAATAGAAGTTTCAGTTAGAATTTAGATCATTCAACAAAAATTATATTATTAATTTGACATAGTAACTGCGGCTATATTTCCAGATAGGTAATTATTCATGTGATTGGAATAACCCTATATATGTGCTGATGAAATAAACTATTATGGATATACTAGGTGGTAGTGGTTGAATTCTAATGCCTCCCTGGTTAAAAATAGAAAAAAAATAATAAAAAAATTACAGATAAAATGATAACAAAAAGATACTGTTTGACATATTTATTTAATTAAAAATCGGGCTGATCTGGATTGGTCTTTAGTAGATTAATAAACTGAAAATCGTAGGCTCAAGAACTGAACTTACAATAACTTGGCAATATATGAAATATAATTTTTTTCTAATCCTGTTCATAATATTTAATTTCTGATTTTATTTATATAAGAATAAATAGTCACATAAATACTCTATAATCAGTGTTGTACAAAATTTTATATTCATCAAAAGTTAGTATATATATACGAATAGTTAAAGAATCATTGTATATTTTGTTATTTGATTAAACAATCTATAATTACTTTGGTTCATAGATTTAATCAATAATTTCACATTCTAGGTAATCGGTTTTATCGGATTTTATTTCTGTAGAGGATTAATAGTCAGTGTAAATAAATAAAGGAATTCGTTTAAGGTTAAATTATGTAAACATAATACCTGAATATATCTTGCTTGATATATTATCATATAATTCATAATAATCATCAGAATTCTTGGGTTCAGGGAGATTTTTAAAATTAAGTGATCTACTTTTATAAAAATCTTCAGGATGTATCTTATTTGTTAAAGGTTTATTATTGATCATTTTTATTTCTTCAATTTGTTTTTGTAATTCTATTTGATTATCAAACTCAAGTGACCATTGAATCAAAATCTCATAAACTTCATTTGCTGTTGGTCGAATTGATGGATTTGCATCCAAACATCTTTTAATTAAATGTAAAATTAATTGTGGTATTTTAATATGAAATTCAGGTCTTAATCCTTCACAAATATTCAATACCAAAATCACATCATAAGGCATATTATAATATGGAGGAGTTTCTGAAATTACTAAATACATAATTATGCCAAAACTATAAATATCAGAATCTTTGGTATAAAAGTCTCCTCTAAAAATTTCGGGAGCCACATATGATAGAACTCCATACTTTGTATTCTCCACGTTTTCTAATTCATTATAATTTTTGCACAATCCCAGATCAGATATACAAGCAGTGGAACCAAACATTAATATATTACCAGCATGTAAATCTCTATGAATTAGTTCATTTTTATGAATTGTGTTAAGTCCATCTGCAATATTATATAAATAATATAACTTAGACTCCAAACTTAATTTATTTGTAAACATGTAATGTCCTAAAGTTCCATTCCTTGCATATTCCAGAACCATCATATAATTTTCAGTACTCGGATCCTGAGTTATTCCATAAGACATAACAATATGAATTGTTTCAGCAGATAATTTTGTATGTAATAACACCTAAATATATGGTACATATTTTTTTTTTAAAAAGTAACTTTAATAAAAATTACACTTGAAAGTTTTATTAAATAATTATAAACTAATCCATACCTCATTGATAAATTTTAATGTAGAACTTTTTGAATCTTCTACTCTTTTCAGAGCTACAAATTTATTTACATTATACCGTTTCCACCCTATGAAAAAAGTCTGTGTGATTTTTGTTGAAAAATCATTCAATTAAATTCACTACGATTTCTGTATATTTGACCATACAATAATTGTGCTAAAAATTGCAATAAATCACACAATTATTGCATGGTAATTCATTCAATAATTATCCTATTTTTGACCTGAATTTATACAATTATTGTGTGATTTTTGAGCCAAATTTTAGGCCATATTTCAATAAAATGTAAAAAAATAATAATAGACTTATTAATATATATGTTATTAAATATGATATTTACATGATATGTCAAAAATTTTTATTAATATTATTTAAAAAGCATTATAAAATACTACCAAAAAAATCACTACTGATAGTAAAGTTTTTATTACGCCAAAATGTATTTTTTTTGTTTTTCTAATGAAAAACGTCAGACCTGACATTTTTAAATTAAAGAAACTTTTTTTTTATTTCTTTTAATGAAAAAACGTCAAACCCGACATTTTTAAATTAAAGAAACAATTTTTTTTTGTTTCTTTTAATAAAAAACGTCAGGTTCAACATTTTTTAATTAAAAATACATTTTCTTTTGTTTCTTTTAATAAAAAATGTCAGGTTCGATGTTTTTTAATAAAAAAAACATTTTTTTTGTTTTTTTTAATAAAAAAATGTCAAACCTGTCGTTTTTTAATTAAAGAAACAATTTTTTTTATTTCTTTTAATAAAAAATGTCAGGTTCGACATTTTTTAATTAAAGAAACTTTTTTTTGTTTCTTTTAATAAAAAAATGTCAGGTTCGACATTTTTTAATTAAAGAAACATTTTTTTTGTTTCTTTTAATGAAAAAATGTCAAACCCGA